GATTTGCATTCAAATCTGGGAAACTTCATTTTTCGGCATTTTTTGAAAATTTTCATGATGGTACCCCTTATCAAAAATGCGAAATTTGGGCCAAAAATGACTTTCCCAAAATCGAAAAACGGGTGACAGGGGTGGTTAGTATTGGTCGTTAGCAGCACGAAACAGTCGTTCTTTTGGCTGTGCGTCTTGTTTTGGCCGAGCTAGAGCTAAAAAACCGAGCATAGTAATGCAAATTTCTGTTAAAAATCGGTTTCCAGTGCTCGCACCGAAAAATCAGAGCAATAATGATAAAAGCAAGTACAGGGGTGTTAAGTTTCGGTTGCTAGCTGCATAAAACAGTCATTGTTTTAGTCGTGCGTCTTGTATTAACAAAGTTAGAGCTAAGAAACGGCAACAAACCCGGCTCTTTGCTGCCATAAGGCGTATACTTGATTTTGGGCGGAAAAAAATCAGTTTTGTTGCTATAGCAGAGCCAAAAATGGTCCAAATGAGGAATGTAATACCGCGTAGGACTCGTTACTTGATTGCCATGATTCCCAATTGATTTGCATTCAAATCTGGGAAACTTCATTTTTCGGCATTTTTTGAAAATTTTCATGATGGTACCCCTTATCAAAAATGCGAAATTTGGGCCAAAAATGACTTTCCCAAAATCGAAAAACGGGTGACAGGGGTGGTTAGTATTGGTCGTTAGCAGCACGAAACAGTCGTTCTTTTGGCTGTGCGTCTTGTTTTGGCCGAGCTAGAGCTAAAAACCGAGCATAGTAATGCAAATTTCTGTTAAAAATCGGTTTCCAGTGCTCGCACCGAAAAATCAGAGCAATAATGATAAAAGCAAGTATAGGGGTGTTAAGGGTTGTTAGCTGCATAAAACAGTCATTGTTTTAGCCGTGTGTCTTGTATTAACAAAGTTAGAGCTAAGAAACGGCAACAAAACCGGACTCTCTGCTGCCATAAGACGTAATCTTGATTTTGGGCCCAAAAAATCAGTTTTTGGCCATAGCACAGTCATAAATGGTCCAAATGAGGAATGTAATACCGCGTAGGACTCGTTACTTGATTGCCATGATTCCCAATTGATTTGCATTCAAATCTGGGAAACTTCATTTTTCGGCATTTTTTGAAAATTTTCATGATGGTACCCCTTATCAAAAATGCGAAATTTGGGCCAAAAATGACTTTCCCAAAATCGAAAAACGGGTGACAGGGGTGGTTAGTATTGGTCGTTAGCAGCACGAAACAGTCGTTCTTTTGGCTGTGCGTCTTGTTTTGGCCGAGCTAGAGCTAAAAAACCGAGCATAGTAATGCAAATTTCTGTTAAAAATCGGTTTCCAGTGCTCGCACCGAAAAATCAGAGCAATAATGATAAAAGCAAGTACAGGGGTGTTAAGTTTCGGTTGCTAGCTGCATAAAACAGTCATTGTTTTAGTCGTGCGTCTTGTATTAACAAAGTTAGAGCTAAGAAACGGCAACAAACCCGGCTCTTTGCTGCCATAAGGCGTATACTTGATTTTGGGCGGAAAAAAATCAGTTTTGTTGCTATAGCAGAGCCAAAAATGGTCCAAATGAGGAATGTAATACCGCGTAGGACTCGTTACTTGATTGCCATGATTCCCAATTGATTTGCATTCAAATCTGGGAAACTTCATTTTTCGGCATTTTTTGAAAATTTTCATGATGGTACCCCTTATCAAAAATGCGAAATTTGGGCCAAAAATGACTTTCCCAAAATCGAAAAACGGGTGACAGGGGTGGTTAGTATTGGTCGTTAGCAGCACGAAACAGTCGTTCTTTTGGCTGTGCGTCTTGTTTTGGCCGAGCTAGAGCTAAAAAACCGAGCATAGTAATGCAAATTTCTGTTAAAAATCGGTTTCCAGTGCTCGCACCGAAAAATCAGAGCAATAATGATAAAAGCAAGTATAGGGGTGTTAAGGGTTGTTAGCTGCATAAAACAGTCATTGTTTTAGCCGTGTGTCTTGTATTAACAAAGTTAGAGCTAAGAAACGGCAACAAAACCGGACTCTCTGCTGCCATAAGACGTAATCTTGATTTTGGGCCCAAAAAATCAGTTTTTTGGCCATAGCACAGTCATAAATGGTCCAAATGAGGAATGTAATACCGCGTAGGACTCGTTACTTGATTGCCATGATTCCCAATTGATTTGCATTCAAATCTGGGAAACTTCATTTTTCGGCATTTTTTGAAAATTTTCATGATGGTACCCCTTATCAAAAATGCGAAATTTGGGCCAAAAATGACTTTCCCAAAATCGAAAAACGGGTGACAGGGGTGGTTAGTATTGGTCGTTAGCAGCACGAAACAGTCGTTCTTTTGGCTGTGCGTCTTGTTTTGGCCGAGCTAGAGCTAAAAAACCGAGCATAGTATTGCAAATTTCTGTTACAAATCGGTTGCCAGAGCTCGCACCGAAAAATCGGAGCAATAATGATAAAAGCAAGTACAGGGGTGTTAAGTTTCGGTTGTTAGCTGCATAAAACAGTCATTGGCTTATCCGTGCGTCTTGTATTAACAAAGTTAGAGCTAAGAGACTGCAACAAAACCGAACTTTCTGCTGCCATAATACGAATACTTGATTTTGGGCCCAAAAATCTCAGTTTTTTGACCATAGCACAGCCATAAATGGTCCAAATGAGGAATGTAATACCGCGTAGGACTCGTTACTTGATTGCCATGATTCCCAATTTTTTTTGCATTCAAATCCGGGAAACTTCATTTTTCGGCATTTTTTGAAAATTTTCATGATGGTACCCCTTATCAAAAATGCGAAATTTGGGCCAAAAATGACTTTCCCAAAATCGAAAAACGGGTGATATGGGTGGTTAGTATTGGTCGTTAGCAGCACGAAACAGTCGTTCTTTTGGCTGTGCGTCTTGTTTTGGCCGAGCTAGAGCTAAAAAACCGAGCATAGTATTGCAAATTTCTGTTAAAAATCGGTTTCCAGTGCTCGCACCGAAAAATCAGAGCAATAATGATAAAAGCAAGTATAGGGGTGTTAAGGGTTGTTAGCTGCATAAAACAGTCATTGTTTTAGCCGTGCGTCTTGTATTAACAAAGTTAGAGCTAAGAAACGGCAACAAAACCGGACTCTCTGCTGCCATAAGACGTATACTTGATTTTGGGCCCAAAAAAATCAGTTTTTTGGCCATAGCACAGTCATAAATGGTCCAAATGAGGAATGTAATACCGCGTAGGACTCGTTACTTGATTGCCCAATTGATTTGCATTCAAATCTGGGAAACTTCATTTTTCGGCATTTTTTGAAAATTTTCATGATGGTACCCCTTATCAAAAATGCGAAATTTGGGCCAAAAATGACTTTCCCAAAATCGAAAAACGGGTGATATGGGTGGTTAGTATTGGTCGTTAGCAGCACGAAACAGTCGTTCTTTTGGCTGTGCGTCTTGTTTTGGCCGAGCTAAAGCTAAAAACCAAGCATAGTATTGCAAATTTCTGTTAAAAATCGGTTTCCAGTGCTCGCACCGAAAAATCAGAGCAATAATGATAAAAGCAAGTACAGGGGTGTTAAGTTTCGGTTGTTAACTGCACAAAACAGTCATTGGCTTATCCGTACGTCTTGTATTAACAAAGTTAGAGCTAAGAGACTGCAACAAAACCGGAATTTCTGCTGCTAAAAGACGTATACTTGAGTTTTGGCGGAAAAAAATCAGTTTTGTTGCTATAGCACAGCCAAAAATGGTCCAAATGAGGAATGTAATACCGCGTAGGACTCGTTACTTGATTGCCATGATTCCCAATTGATTTGCATTCAAATCCGGGAAACTTCATTTTTCGGCATTTTTTGAAAATTTTCATGATGGTACCCCTTATCAAAAATGCGAAATTTGGGCCAAAAATGACTTTCCCAAAATCGAAAAACGGGTGATAGGGGTGGTTAGTATTGGTCGTTAGCAGCACGAAACAGTCGTTCTTTTGGCTGTGCGTCTTGTTTTGGCCGAGCTAGAGCTAAAAACCGAGCATAGTATTGCAAATTTCTGTTACAAATCGGTTGCCAGAGCTCGCACCGAAAAATCGGAGCAATAATGATAAAAGCAAGTACAGGGGTGTTAAGTTTCGGTTGTTAGCTGCATAAAACAGTCATTGTTTTAGCCGTGCGTCTTGTATTCACAAACTTAGAGCTAAGAGACTGCAACAAAACCGGAATTTCTGCTGCTAAAAGACGTATACTTGATTTTGGGCCCAAAAAAATCAGTTTTTTGGCCATAGCACAGCCATAAATGGTCCAAATGAGGAATGTAATACCGCGTAGGACTCGTTACTTGATTGCCATGATTCCCAATTGATTTGCATTCAAATCTGGGAAACTTCATTTTTCGGCATTTTTTGAAAATTTTCATGATGGTACCCCTTGACTTTCCCAAAATCGAAAAACGGGTGATAGGGGTGGTTAGTATTGGTCGTTAGCAGCACGAAACAGTCGTTATATTGGCTGTGCGTCTTGTTTTGGCCGAGCTAGAGCTAAAAACCGAACATAGTATTGCAAATTTCTGTTAGAAATAGATTTCTTGATTTTTCTGCCATTAAATCAGAGCTCGCACCGAAAAATCAGAGCAATAATGATAAAAGCAAGTATAGGGGTGTTAAGTTTCGGTTGTTAGCTGCATAAAACAGTCATTGGCTTAGCCGTGCGTCTTGTATTAACAAAGTTAGAGCTAAAAACGGCAACAAAACCGGACTCTCTGCTGCCATAAGACGTATACTTGATTTTGGGCCCAAAAATCTCAGTTTTTTGACCATAGCACAGCCATAAATGGTCCAAATGAGGAATGTAATACCGCGTAGGACTCGTTACTTGATTGCCAAACACTTAGCGACAGTTTTTTCCCATAACTAAGGCAACAATGTTCAGAATGTGTAAAACTATATCTCGTTGAGATTGTTTTTGTATTCTCATTACATCTGCATTCAAATCTAAAATTTATTTCAAATCTTTTAAAATACCTTTGGGAAAAACGAATCATTCATTTAACAAAATTGTATTAATACATTTATTGCGTTACAAATTAATTTAATAATAATTTAAGAAACGTTCAATAAAGAAATGACTCCTTAGTGGTTTTTGGTGGCCTGATGTAAAGGAAAAGGGAACTTACTGATGGCTGAGAAATGGAATATGAATAAAAATTTTTCTTGTTCAGATGAAGAGTCTTAACAATTTGCGCCATGGAATACATATGACTGGACAGCCAAAAACAGACCTTGGGAAAGCTTACAGTTCTAAATTAAGCAAAAAGTTAAATTAATAATACAAACTTATTAGTTATTTGGTAAAATTACTCACTTGATAATAGCATGGGGAAATATTTTCTCAATGAGACCACATAGTTTTAGATATTTCCATCTGTCCATATTATTATTGCGTACCTTAGAGTACTCATGCTGCCTGAATATAAATAGTTCTTCTAATTTCAAACCACTTTCCTGATCCTTATCTTCCGTCGATGAAGAATCCAAATCAATGGCACTAGATAATTCAGGCATATAGATTCTAGTTTCGACAACATAATAAGATGTGTAATAGTTCTGCTGGATTTCTTGCCGCTCTCCAATTGCTCCGATTCGCGGCGGGCTTAGAGCGACCATTCGCAGTGCCGAGGCTGAGAACTCGGTGTCGGTGCAAGTGTAGATCACCGATTGTCCATGACTGCGCACATCATGGATTAAACGAAGTATATTGCGCTGGGAGATTATGTCCAGATGGGTAAAGGGGTCATCCAAAAGGATCAGATCAGCATCACTCATCAGAGCTATGCCAACGCTTAGTCTCTTCAATATTCCTCGACTGCAGGTTGAAAGCAACTGAAATCGATAGCTATATAAACCAAATAGTTTACACAAATAATTAGCATCTTCCTTTAATTTTTTTGTATTCGACATCCGTATACGTAATAGCAGATAAAAGGTCTCCAATATCGTTAACGATTGTGAAAATCGAACATCTTGACCACTATAACCAATTAAATTGCAGACTTCCAAGTTCTCCGATTTGAAGGGGACCTTATTCGAACTTATTATCTTTCCCAAACTGGGATTGTAAACTCCTAGAATGGTCTTCATCAGAACCGTTTTTCCAGATCCATTTGCTCCAAAAACGCTTAAAACTTGATAGCTGAAGGTATATTGCAGAAACTTTTGTGTTTATGTATAAACTATTATATTAATTTACCGATTGATCATAAAATCAATATGCTTCAAAACCGGCCTTAAGCCAAAGAAAACACTCACGTGCTTTACATGCAAAACTTTGCTCTCTATATAATTTCGTTCTAACGTGCTAACCCTTGACTTCTCATATATCCACGTATTTTCAAGCTCATTGGGCTGTGCTATATGTAAAATATTCTGATCATATTGATTATCTGGACTGATGCCGATTAACGATTATTTTAATATTCTATAAAAAGCCAAGATAACCACAACTTACTCACTGTCCCAGAAATATTTCACTTGACGTGGCCTCTGCCTTACCAAATGCGATTTCAGGCAGATGAAAATTGAAATCCATACTACGATTGTTAAAAGATAAACGCAACATAAGTACCGAAAGTAAAAGAACCTTTGGGCATTGATATCTGTAGATACATAATAGGTATAAATTGGAAATATACATTTCCTAATAAGACATATACGACATAATTTACCACAACAATTGGGAATTCTCTGGCACTGCTCCGCATAGACACTGGTCTCATAAATTTGCAAATCACTGCAGAGCCACAACATCTCCGATATACTGGCTATTCGCATTAGATTATGCAATAAGGCATAATACGGATGAAAGTCGAGGAAAAGAAAGAATATCGTATTCGGATCGGCAAGGGGATGTAATTCATTCACTGCAATGTAGGCTGCAATGCCGAATGAGTAGAAAGTGATCACCTTGAGGTAAGCATTATGAATGTCCGATATGCAGATGGATATTAGGATATTACTGCTAAGTACACAAATTGCAACAACCGCCAGGACATGGGCAACAAACACTTTTAAATAATAGATAAATAAAAAGAGAACTAACTATATAAATATTTGGCGAGCTTACTGAAAATATCAGTGTCCATTAGTACATCCCACTGAAGGAATATCACAGCCAAGTTAACCGGTAAAAGGGCGCAGAAGACAAACACTATATCGTATACTACAAAGGCCAAAATCATAATGCTCATTCGCATACCAGCAATCAGTTCAATATAGTTATAGCGACCGTTTTGATTAAGGGTCATATATAGAATGGGAATACTCCAGATAAAACAGAAGCTAAAGGTCAGGCAACTGGCCAATATCAAGTCAATGCCATCGATGCTCAGATTCAATTGTAAAGAATGGACTGAGGAGAAGAGCAAAGGTTCAAATTCCACCTTTATACCAGCATCAGAACCCAACAAGCCACTAAAACAAAAATTCACAAATATATAGGTATAAAGATCTAAAAGAGCTTGAACTTACATTGCCAAGGAGTTCATGACCAAGGCCAAGCTATCCGGTGCTGTGTGTGGCCATTTGTTGTTGAAGAGAACTTCGATATTGCCGTCTTTAAAAACAACTGCGCCCAGAAAGTCCACATCTGTTAACAAGTTATTCTCATATTTATAATTTTGGATGTATTTCGTAAGACCAATATTCGGATTTACTTCTGTAGCTCCAATTTTAACATATTCCTTGCTTGCTTCCAATAGGTCTTTATCCGACAAATCTTTTTGCATTAGAAAAATGCCATTGTCATGATCAGAAATGGGAAATTCAATAGAGTATGGTTCTCTGCCATTGTCCCAAAAATATGGCATACACAGTGTCCAGATGACCACAAAGGTGGGCAAAAGAAGTTTTAGAAGTGGTAAGAATCTCTTTCGAATGTCAGTCATCATACGCTGGCGAAGAACTTGATAAAAATGCAAGATTAGTATCTTATATCTCTCCTTAGGTTCTTTGTGTATGGGAGGTATCTGTGATACTGGGTCACCAAATTCCAAGCTGGATTGCTCACGAGTTAACAAGTTGTATAGAATGTCATCGAGGCTGCATTCTTGAAGTTGAAAAGTATCCACATTCAAGTCCTCTTTATATGTTGTCAAGTTCTCAAGTAAATCAATCAATTCATTTTGGTTTTGATACTTTATAAGATAAACTGCAGAATCACCCAAGCTTGAGTCCATCTTAATGTCAGCTATGAAATTTGACAAAAAGATTTGCACCTCCTGGAAATCGCAATTTTCGTTGCCATATAGAGTCTGTAAAAGTACAAAATTATTAAATATTCTGAATATTTACTTTATAAAACTCACCAAACGATAGGCATCATTTAAGGTATGGCAAAACCTTTTCTCAGTTGCATATGATAATAGATTGCCTTTTGAAATTATGGCAATACGATCGGCAAGGCCACTGGCTACTTTTGGACTATTGGTGGTGAACAAAATAGATCTATTTTTCTTTTGCTCCTGTACAAAGTTAAATAACAATCGTGCCTTGGCCTCATCGATATTGTCGAAAGGCTTGTCGAGAATTATAATCTTCGTTTTTCCAACGAATGCACACAGCACTTGCAAGACACGTTTCTGTCCAATCGTTAGATTCTTCACTTGGGTCTTCTCTATCTTTTCTATTTTCAAATAGCGTAGATAAGATCTGACTTCTTCTTTGGCTTCAGTTTTTTTAAGACCACGCAATCGACAGAAAAATAGCAAATGATCGAAGACTATATATTCCGAAAATAGTGGTTCACATGACACAGAAATCCCAGAATTTTTAAAGGCTTGTCGTTTATGGCTAACTATATTGAAACCAGATAGGTATATATCTCCAATGGATGGCTTTATCAGTCCGTATGCCATCTTTACAATTGTGTTTTTACCAGACGAGTTATGACCCAAAAGTGCTACGATTTCTCCGGAGTATACACTTAAGTTAAAGTCTTGGACCACAAACTTTTTGGAAAACTTTTTCCATACGTTACGAAACTCTATCGGTATATTAGTTATATGATCTTCAGAACTAATTCCTTGTTCTCTAGCCAATGACAGCTCATTATGAGCTAGCGGAATACCTGTTGATCTTTTAGACTTTTTCTTTAGAACACCTGCAAGCCAAACGAATGCATGATTTTCCAAGGCTAAGGTGAATATAATGAAAAGTAATACTTGTGCATAGAAACAGGCAATGGGTACAATTAGACCAAAATCATAGTCCATAATTTTGTACATTAAATACTTTCCAGTTGACACTTTAAGTGGATAATCCTCGATATACATCATTTTCTTTAAACCCCGACTTAGTGCTACATTGCAAAGGATTACGGTGGCTATGCCATAAAATACATCGGATATTAGATCATTATCGGACAAAAATGGCAGGGACAGTAGAACCCATATAATTGGTACCATAACAATAGCTACCTTTGAGTTCCGAAAGCAAGATGCCAGAAAAATTACAAAACTTGTCACTGATAGTCCATATGAGCACAGGAATAAGAACAAAACAAGCCAGGGGCATTTATCCAAAGCTGATGACGTTCCATTCCATGCAATCTATAAAATAAATAAGTTATTATATTGAATTACATATGCCATACAAAGTATACCTTTAGCAAGCAAGTAATAAGAGTTGAGGTGACCAGGAAATTACACAAGACGTTGAAAAACCAGGCCGAAGTCTGCAATGTTACGCTTACATCATTAGCCTTCAACATGTAACGTTGTCCCAATTCCCTTTCCTCCACAATAAGCTGGAAAGATTAAAAATTATACAAATTGTATACTTCAATTAAAATAACAAACCTTAACTAGCAAAGTCACGGGAAACATAAAACCCAGTTGAATCAGTAATATGGCTGATATATCTACGCCATTGGAAAGTAGAAAATTAAAGTTTTCATTAAATCGACGCATAACGATATTTGGGAAATTTTCCAAATTGGTAGCCGACAGCAGGTATTGAACACTGATATGATACTGAAGAGCCACAAAACCCTCTTTTATATAATCCGTATTGCTATCCTCGTCCATTTCGGTATTTTCGGAGCTATCATGATCGACAAATAAATCGGTTTCCTTCCAACAATCACCGATCCAAGATTTCTCATAAGCACGAAGTTCTGATGGCATAATTATCACAAACTGCAATACCGATGGCAAACCTCTTTTTGACTCATCCACTTGGCGGAAGCACACACTTGCCAAATAATGTTCAGAGGAAGCGTGTGTCCGCAAATCATTGCAATTTTGAAACTCGACAATCTTATCTTTGCCGATGGAAAGTTTCCCCAAGGCATCATCCATCAGATTTCGCAGTGCAGCATTCGAATTGGGAGCAAATGCCACGCTTATTTGCGGTATGAATACATTATATGTAAAACTAAAAGAAATATTAATAAAATGTTATAAATAATAAAAAAATATTGTTTATGTTTAAATTACTTACTTGTCCTGTTTGCTCACAATTTTCTGTCGTCTTGCGTTTATTTTATCAATAAGCGAAATCCAATTTAATTCTAAAACTTTCCCTTCCACATTTTTTTTGTAGTCCTTCAAAGTTCGATCTTTCGCAGAACAAATATATAACAGCAGTAATGAGGATATTACTGGCAAAGTAATTGCTAGAAAGAACACTAGCTTATTGTTTTTTTGTTTTAGAAAATTCTTCCAAACCAACATCCAAAATAAGATTATGCAAGACATTTTTTATTTATTTTTTTTAGAACGCAACGTAGGCAGAAACTTTTCAAGTTTTCACATTAAGAATGACAGTTAAGGCAGTTCTGGTTTCGTTAAACACTATTCAACAAATATACACAATGAGGTCCCAATAATCTTAATATTTACTTAAACTTATTGTCTATTTAAAATTTGTAAACCACATCCATAAAAATACATTCGCTGGTGATCATCAATAAGCATTCCCTTAACATCTGCTATGCAAGTATATCCAACTCGACTATATTTATGCGTTCCAAGGTCTATTTTATATATCTGTCTGTCTATACTGCAAGTATAGGCAAACATTTCAGATCCCTCAATAATTTTGGTGGGACAGTGTATTGCTAAAGCATTAACTTGGGCATTGTGAAGACCCAGGAATTCAGTTTTATATTCTACATTATTATTATCTAAATTAAGTACTGTATATTTGATATTTTCATCATCCCCTCCGGATAATATATGCAACAGATTTTTATGAACATATATATCTATGGTATTTATGCCCGTCACATGGAGCTTTAGCTGAACACGGATATGTTGCAGTGTCTGATCAAAGCCGTAGACTTCACCATTTGTTGTTGAAACTAATAAAATTTCTTTGTTTCCAATCCAATGTATGCTAAGTGGGCATCTTTTTATATCTACAAAGAACTTTAAGTCGAGATGGGAGGGATTTTCTGAATTCCAGATATAATGGCTTATGTTTCCATCACCACCGGCAACATATATTGAAAAATAGCTCCCATTAGAATGCTGGGCAATATCGATGGCCATAAGTCGGACTTTTATAGTACTAGTCTTAGATGACGCTGCATTATGCAAAGAATGGCTGGCCAATTCGGTTACGTTGCAATTATTCGAGATATCTATATTCAGTTGATTAATACAGAGCTGGGATCTTCCTCCGACTGAAAAAACAAGCCAAGTACTCGATTCTTTGTCCGATTTATATAAATGCACCTGTAAACTACGAACAGTCGAGATATGAGAGTGCATTTCTGCACATTGAGATAATGAATCTTTGAGTACTTTTGTGACTTTTATAATATTATCCTCACCAGCGGAGAGAATAAAAGGATACGATTGATTCTTGTGTTCAAGAATACGAATTATATTGCAATTGCGTGTATGCCAAGTATTTGGTTTTATGTCTTTAATTTGATTAGCAACTCCACTGTAGAGTGAATTCCGAAAGAAAAACACTTGCTTTTGCTTGACATAGGCTAAACATAGTGAATTATCACCCAGACGGTAATCCCAGCACCGATTGCCTCCGCCACAAGCGAATTGCAAAAGGATATCATATTGTCGGGACCAGGCGACAATGTGATTGTCATTAAAACCTAAAATCAAGTCCTCTGAAGGAGATGCTTCAACCCAAGCTAAGGGAACACTCACTCGTTGACTAATATATAGATTATAGTCCGATAAATTCACAAGAAGATATTTAAGGAAATCCTCATGACCACCGCTCATAACTTGCGCATAATTATTATTAAGATTTATCAACTTAAAGAAATTAGAACCCATTTTGCCGTGTAAATGTTTGATTGTATCTTTTAATTCAAAGGGGTTTTCATTACTACTACGATAGTAGAGCATGACATGGCCCTCACGATTGCCCAACAAAAGATACTTTTCGGAAATTAGCAATGCCGCTGTTATCCACGGTTCACGGTTATTGAACAGTGCAATATGAGAATCTATAGAAAGCTGGTGGCTCTTCAGCAATAAGCAGTAACCCAAATTATCAGAGACAAGATAATAATCTTTACTTAAGAAATGAAATGAGCGTATGGTGCCCTTCATTCTGGTGCCATCAAAAAGTTGCTCGAAATTATTTGTAAGTGGATTATATCTGTGCAGTGTTATTCGCCTATGACCACAGGTGACAATTATGTTATCAAAGACCTCTAAAACTGTACGTTTATAAGAGGGAAACTCTTTAACTGGAAGCCAAATGTTTGTATGTGAAGAATCTGGCAATATTTGGGTATAATACAATAGGTTTGAGCTACTTAAACCGACAATTATCTCATCATTTACAAACTTTAGATTTCGGACAAACTCATTGTCATCGCCTAAGCTATTTAATATAGTAGGGATATTTCTGGATCGATCAAGGGCTTCTTTAAGATTTTGACCGAATACATTACCAGTAGAGCTGGTACTATAAAGGGTATTCGCATCCTTACTGAAACCCAGTCTCCATATAGGCGCTCCAAAATGTTGACGACGTTTTAATAACAATTCACCAGAAGTACTCCAAATGCAGACATACGAATCTTCACCTCCGCTGGCCACAAGTATTTTGCCATCTGCAATATAAATAAAGTTATTATAGAAAGACAAGACAATTCCTTTCAAAGGGAATCTTACCACTTTTAAAAATTGAAACACACATAACACGTGAAGTGTGTCCGTAGCAACTAAATATTGGTTTAATTTCGGCGGTGGTCCAGTCTCCAGATTTTTGTATGTTCCAAAACTTTACCGAACGATCATCTGATGTTGTTACCAATAATTGTGATTCCAAGTTAAAATCAATGGAATGTATGACTCCATTGTGTGCTTGTAGACGCAATAGTAACGGATATGTTTTCATATTCGTTTTTGTATCAGATTCTATGGGCAACATTGTTTGCCAAACCAATAGTTCTCCAAAGGCATTTCCGCTTATTATGGCCAGTTGATCATAGCAATTGCCGTGCAATTTAGTGTAATAAAGAATGGAACTGTCGGTACACCGTCCTAATTCCAGAACTTTGCAGCTTGCACTCGTTAGATCGTATTCCAAATATAAAAGGGCACTATGCGATGTGTGCAGAACAAATCGTTTCCTAGCATCTGTTGCATTTTCATCCAGGAACTCGGCAGTATTAATCCAGTCTTTAGTCTCACCCTCGTAAAGGAGTTGAAACTGATCTTTCTCAGAACTGGAGGTGCACTTAATTAGCGAGTACTCATTTTCGCTAAACAGCAATAATAATCTTTTGGATTGACCTAAAGAACTCCACGCAAACCCTCGGACGTTTCCTTCACGCAGGCAAACCGGCAGTTCAGCTTTTGTTGTTGAGCTGTATAACACCGCTTGATCTCCATGGCCTATATATGTTAAAGATCGGCATTTTTATCTATTTTGTATATCAAGTACTATCAAATATTATACGTACCAACCAATATGCCATTATTGGAAACATCCAAGCCAAAAGCATCAGATATCAAAACCATAACTTAATTTAATAACAACACGTTGTTTTGGTAAACACAATTGGGTGCAGTGTGACCATGTCTTGACAGCTTTTCAATGAGAATAAAATGACGTGAAACGGTGGAAAGTGAAATAGGCGGGGTTTTTAAAATGAATATCCAATGATTTACTAAAGAGTTAGAAATAATGTTGTGCAGAAAAAAATGCATACTTTGTCAGAATGTCAGATACACATATTATTAAATCCAAATTGTCGAATAGTTTATGTTAAACGCTAGGAACTGAACATATTTTTATGAGGTTCTCTGTGTTACCAACAAAATACTTATCGTCTTTTTTTTAATAATATAACACCAGCCATTTATGTCCTACCTAATATGATTCACAACATTTTATTATACAAAAAATATTATTTAATTTAAAAACTAGTCAATATTTTATAATATTTATAATAATATGTAAATTTAAGACTCGGGCACCACACACTCTAGATTCAGGGAACTAAATATAGTTTCTTCAATAGGGTGAACCTGCTTGTCCTCATGATGTTGTAGCAACTTAAAGATACCTGTACCAATTCCTGCCGGCATTCCTAGAATTATGCGTTCTGAAACTCCATTAATGGCATCTGTCTGGCCGTAGTATGCTGCATCAAACAAGTGGTCTGCTGTCTTTTCAAACTAAAATGATAAAAACATGACAAATTATTATACATCAAAGAAGAAAACCAAATATGTTTTCTTACCGATGCCAAGTTAAAGACGCTCTCACGCATTTTAGCCAAACCGTGTCGAGTGATACCCAATACTTCACCACGTGCCGTCATTTGGCTGGCAAGGAGCATGATATGACGCGAATCGACACTCATACCATGTCCTTCCATCACCTCCGTTATTTCACTCATAATGATGGTCCGCGCTGCCTCTATTCCCAGTGTCTGATATATTTCACAAATATTGTTACTGCGAGTACGATTACCGACTACACCGAATGTAGCAATCACATCACGAAGTCCATAGCCCTCAATGCATAGTTTATATGTGGGAGGCTGTCTGGCATCATCAACAGCAATGACAGCACGATTAATATTTGGCAGACCCGCCACAACGACGTTCTGCAGACCAAGTGCTAGTCGTGCTAATTCTGCATTTTTAGTTGAAGTTCTTGTGGCTTCCACTCGAACAATAATTCGCGAGTGCTTCGGAACAACATCCACTTGAGCCGGCTTAACTCGCATACGCGACTTCAATATACTAAAAACAATTGTATCTAAGTTTATATGTAGGCCAAGAAGTTTAATTCTTGCCATATCTATTCCAATGGCCAGGTAGCAGCTATAAGGTCCGCATACAACCTCAACATAGGAAGATAACTCTCCTAAAGTGGTTTTCTCAATGCGCGCCTTAACTTGCCTGGCGAATTCCATACTATGGCTGTCCAGCAGCTCAGCACTTATGATTGGCGTCGATATGGTTTTCGTTGCATTTATAATCTCAACTATACGTGGTACACCTTGAGTAATGTTCATCGAAGCAACACCAGCAAAATGGAACGTCTTAAGGGTCATCTGGGTTCCTGGCTCTCCAATACTCTGCGCAGCAATGGCACCAACTGCTGTGCCAGGCTCGCTTATAGCTCGATTATATCGATTATTAATTCGACGTACAAATTTCAATAGCTGCTCGGCGGTGATGCATTCAATCTGATGGCATAGGTTTTCATGTTTAGCATAGCGTTTCTGCAATTCCCCAATGCGATTGGATACAGTGACAATGTGTTTTCTGCAATATAAAATATATTAGGAAAATACTATTTAAATTCTTGTGGAAACACTCACCTAACATCTATTTTGAAATCTTCCCGGGATTCTATAAATTCTGAAGAGCCTAACAGCGTTTCGAGGACTTGTGGAATTTCTTCTGCCAAAAGTGGACGATCCGTGCCACGTGGATGTTGAGCACGCAGATTGTCATATTGATGGACCAGATCAACAGGTTTATTCCGAGTCTCCATGGATACAGGATCTAGACCATCACCACCGTATATGGTGTCCACCATTTCGTTGACAGCATTACGAACTGTACCGTCGTAATGAACAACCAAATCCTCAAGGCACTTAACCAATCGTCGCTGCAGATATCCGGTCTCCGCTGTCTTTACGGCTGTATCGACCAAACCTTCACGACCAGCCATTGTGTGAAAGAAGAACTCAGTCGGGGTTAGCCCGGAATAGAAACTGTTCTGGACAAAACCTCTGGCCGCAGGAATTGCAGCTAAAGTAAACAAAAGTATAATTAGCTTAAATGTAACTCAGAAAAAAGCCACTTACAGTGTCTATTGAAGTGAGGTAGAGCTCGATTCTCAAATCCGTTGGGTACTCGTTTACCACTAACAGCTTGCTGACCAACACAAGCGATCATTTGGGAAATATTAATATTTGAACCCTTTGATCCACTGAGCGCCATTATCAATGCGCTATTAGTGGGATGGAGCTCCGCGAAACATGTCTTGGCAGCCTGTTCTCGAATAGCCGACAGCTCCCGCAGCATTACGGATTCCAGTGTCTCTTCTGGCGTACAACCAGGTTGACACTGCAGAGTTCCCGCCTTAAGCTTTTCAATATACTCATTACATTTTGCGTATCCATGTTCCAGTAGCAATTCCTTGTGCTGTAAAAGTTTTTTGCTTGGAGTGACATCGCTGATGCCGAACGAGAAACCGCGATTCTGCAAAAAGTACGATGCGATCTGGAAAGAAGATTTACTTTGGACTTAGCAAAAAACAAAGTCAAAAAGTCAACTTTATCCTAGATTATTCTGGGTTAAAAGTATTTTCTATATATTAAAAATTTCATATTATATTGGCTTAAATTTATTACGCGTGCGTTTTATCTTTAATCTTTGGGTAATCAATATCTGTCGAATACGTTCGTCGAATTTTATAGACCCTTGCACTTATAATTAATTAGTGTCTACCCTAAAGGTGAAGGAGAGAATGCTATTCAACGTTGACGATGTAATTTTCGTAACCTGAAATTTGAATACCCTTAAAACGGCTACTTCTTAAAAGTTTAATAGGACTTAACTTTTTGGTGATAATACTCACAAAATATTTTTAAAAAGCTGCTCACGTTCCTGGGAACAATAATCACAAAACACATTTAGACCGCTTCATGTTCTGGGAACTAATTAAAGTCAGGTGTAATAACAATGGAATTAGTAAGATACCATTCCTTATTGTGAGAGCAAGACCTACGTCGAATTTACTAAATTAAGTTAGCAGTTAATCTTATCAGAAAGGCACAATGTTAAAAAAAATTCGTGCAAAATATAGAGATAAAAGATAGCTGGAGTGAGTCAAGGAATTGAGACGTGTGAAACAAAAGCTAACTTCCGACAGAGCACCAAGCACGAAAGACATGGCGCTAAATTTCGCGAAGTCCTTAATGCTAATTTTATTAGCTGTGATTACGGTCATTGGACTGGCAACCTCCGACCCAATCGATATTGTAAGTAGAACACTGGCTAGTCCCAATATATGGAATGGTTTACTTTATTGGTTTAATTTAAACAGCAAGGTCGGATAATATCTGGAAGTCAGGCAAAACTTGGTCAGTTTCCTTGGCAAGTGATTTTAAAGCGAGACGAATGGGATGATCTGCTTTGTGGAGGATCCATAATTTCTTCATTATGGGTACTGACGGCAGCACATTGCACCGATGGCCATAGCTCTATCTTTTTGATATTCGGTAGTATCCAGCTAAACAATGAAGACGCTCAAAACATGACGTCTACAAATATCTTTGTCCATCCAAACTACAACGAAAATTTGAATAACGATGTTTCGTTGATAAAACTTCCGGAAGCACTGACATTTTCATCTAGCGTTCAACCCATACAATTGGTAACCGAGTCCCAGCAATCGAACACATTTGTGGGCACTGTGGCAATCATAGCAGGATTTGGATTACTGGACGATGAGTACCTGGACTATTCGCAAACATTAATGTATGCCCAAGTAGAAATAATTCCAAATTCCGGATGCCTGTCTATTTTTGGGAGTAACGTCGTTATGGAGTCGACACTTTGTGCTAGAGGATTTGATGGAAGTAACATGTCCATTTGTAGCGGAGATTCTGGCGGTCCACTCATCATCTACAACACCAGCATTGGAGAGTGGCAACAAATTGGCATTAATTCGTTTGTCGCTGAAGATCAATGTACCGCCAGCTATCCTTCTGGATATGTTCGCCTAACTTCCTTCCTAAGCTATATTGATCAAATTACAAGCAACAATATATAAAATCTGCACTGATTTTAATTTAAATAAATTCAAACAATGGGACATAAATCACGTTGGTAATTATCTAATATAATAGTTAAGTAAGATAGTAAGTGTATATACGAACCCTTGCTAATCTCCACATGGCCTTTGTCGCATGAAGTTCACCAAAGTCTCTCAGCATCAAGTAAAATATGCACTGTTTTGTACCAGAACCCAAGGCAGCCTTATCCATAACACCGCACATCAGTTCTGAATTGCGTATATGAATCCCTGACAACGAAGTATGTTATTACTTTTTTTTAAATGTATTATGGCATATTAATACTTACAAGAGTCATTGCTGCACAGATCCATGTTTCGCGTGTAATTCCGACCTTTATTGACCATATTAAGGAGAATTTGAGAATCGTTATTTGGTCGCATTAGCAAGCTAAACATTTGTTTGCCTGTCCACAGACGTCGCGGTTTAAGAAGAGCTGGTGGTGGTAGCTTTATGTGCATGGTGGAGTCTTCATTGGCCAAAAAGCATGCGGCTAACTGCATAGCCTCCTCTTTAGTAAGGAAGACCTCCTTTTGTGTGAGCAAATAGCCACCGGTTATGAAATCCTGCGTGGCGGCAATTAAAATCTCACCATTTTTCGGAGTTACCAAATTCGATTGGTTGCCCATTAATATTAAGGCTTCGGCTCTTGCTTCTTCTGTTTGTGGCAAATGCAGATTCATTTCATCGCCATCAAAATCGGCATTGTAAGGCGTACAGGCACATTCATTAAAGCGGAACGTTCTTTGCGGCTGCACTTTTGCGCGATGGCACATAATAGACATCTTGTGAAGTGAAGGCTGACGGTTAAATAATACGATATCTTCGTCGCGCAGATGACGCTCAACGATGTCGCCGCACTTTAACTCCTGCGCCACTTTTTCCCGATTACCATAGGCAAGATACTTCTTGAAGCTAGATCCGCGCTGCTGAACATAATTGGCTCCCGGGTGCTTACTTGGCCCATTACGTACCAGTTCCCTCATTTGACTCATATTGGCGGGATTAACGCGCTCGGGATATGTAAGAATCTTCGCCACACGCACAGGAACGCCAACCTGATAGATCATTAAGTTAGGATCTGGTGAAATAACGGTACGTCCACTGAAATCCACACGTTTTCCAGAAAGATTACAACGAAAACGGCCTTGCTTGCCCTTCAATCGTTGTACTATTCCGCGTGTCGTCTTCTTTGGTGCCATATTAATGGGTATTCCGCTGATTTCACTGTGGAAATATAAAGCGACATGAAGTTGCAGAAAGTCCCAGTCCTCGTGTATGAGCTCGATCTTCCCACCAGTGCCCATGTGACGCTGAATTACATCATTAATGAGCAGGATTTCGCTTTGTTTCATGGTTAGATCATCCTCAGTTGTACCAGCTTTTACTTCGGACAAAACCGAGGGACGAATGCATGCAGGTGGCACAAAGACTCGGGTAACAATCAAATGTTTTGGATGGGCATTGCGCGAGCACATTCCTAGTAGTGCAACATCTCCCTGAGGGATTTGTTCGAAGAGATCGAGCACCATGAGCGGTGTTAGCTCCTCGGCGGTGCTATAGTTACCCAGCGCTGAGTTAAGGTCACGATTTGACTCCGTAGACCGAAGCATTTCGTTCATATTATTAGTAAACAGTGAGTCCACTTTACGCCCCTTGTAAGGATCATGAATAATTTTCAGAAGCCCCGGTCCCTTTTTAACTCCACCATTTGGAGAATCACAATGTGGACATTTTGTAACCTTCTTTGCCTTGGCCAAAATTTGCACATGTAGAGCTTTCTTACCCAGATACGAAAAGTTAGGGTTAAGCAGCTTCTTCTCGTACACTTGTCTGTCCTCGGGCTTCAGCATAACACGAGAACATGCCTTGCAAATCATTTGAAGGATATTGATGGTAGAACGAAAGTGTCCAATGTGAAAAACAGGTAGAGCGAGATCTAAGTAACCAAAGTGGCCGATGCACTCGTTTAGACCCTGTCCACAAGTTTCGCACATGGCGTCCTTGGTGCTAATTCCCATCCGACGATCCAAAACTCCATAGGGAACTGGTTGCCTCTGGGCCTGGTACAGATTTTTGGAGATAATCCGCACCTGTGCCTCTTGTTGAATTTCATCGGGAGCGCTAATTCCAAACTGCACATGGGAACTAACGGAATTTTGGTTAAATTAAAAATTTATATTATATAAAGCGACAACATACATCTTTTTGTTAAGCGCAGAAGCGCGAAACTGTTCCTTCGGCATAATTCCAGTTGCTAATTGTGCACGTTAAACTATTTAATATATTTGTTTAAAAAATAATAATAAACCGGCACGATTTTTATGTTTGATTTAGTGTGACCGGACCGCAACTGAACATCTGATTGGAACATCGATAAGATATCGATAAGCTATTAATCGGTTCTATGCGTCTATATAGAAAAATATGTTTTAACGTTTTAAAATGCTGATGCGGAGCGTTCACACATAGAATAACTGAGAACACTGAAACAAAAGTCTTTGATTGTGATTTGGTCGCATTTTTACTTACACAATAATCTTTAAACTAAACTATATACATTTTTTTTATGTTTACCATTACGACAATACGAAGAATATATAAAATGTAAACATGTATCCCAGTTGATGACAACACAATCATCATTGTCATAAACTTCAAAGACGTTTTGTATATAAAATAGTTTTTAATTTCAAAACAACAAATTAGATTTCTATAATACCTTAAGTACTAAAGTTATTCGTTTTCATATGTTATTGACTCGCTTTTAAAGTTGTGCACCTTGTCGAACCATATATCATCTGATGCTTGCTGCGGCTCCCCGTAAAACGTTGGGAATGGAGGGGCTTCCTTGTTCCTTCGTAGTGGTAAAATTGTGTCGTATATATAGACAAGACCGCCAGTGGGGCCGGGCACTGAGCTGCCCTGCACCCACATAACATTATATTTCGAGTTAATACGCCACACACGTAATCCTTTAATAACACGCCACCGATTTCCCATATGTCCAGGCATCTTTGTACCAGGCCAAACACGACCCTTTTCGCCACCTCCGCCAATATTACCGGCACGCCGATGTGTTTTTGTAACGCCGTGTGAGGCTGGCATTCCTTTGAATCCGTGACGTTTGACAACACCTTGGAACCCGTGGTCAACACTGTATAAAAAGAATGGTGGATTACACTTACATTACATTTATACAATACTTTAAAAAAATACTTACGTTTTGCCACGAACATCGACAAAGTCACCGATGCCGAAATGATTTACATTTAGGGGAGTGCCTGGCTCAAGTTGAGCCTCTGGAGAAACGATGAATCGCGCCAAGTTCTTCTTGGGAACAACACCAGAATCCCGAAATATTCCCGAGTATTCTTTGGTCAGCAGAGCTGGGTTTGTGGTCTCGGAGCCAACGAGAATACATCCTCGCTTATGCAAATTGTGAACTTTTGGAGGTTGGGCTGGTAAATACTCTTCCGGAGGAATGTATTTAATAACATGGTTATCCGCAATCTGCAACAGCGTTGTGCGTATTCTTTCGCCATTCTTTAGCCAAAGAGGATATTGACCAATTTTTCGAGCTATAACACCGCACCTCCTTAAACCAGGAGTCCAAACTGCCTCGGTGGATGATTCCTTGGTCTTGATCAAATTCTCTTTTATAATTGCTGGAGCACCAAATTTTTCATTACCAACTTCATTGACGAACTGCTTGTTTTCAGCTGTCATCAAGTCATCGTATTTCTGTTGCATTGAAATATTAATGAATGTTTAGATTGAACATAAATAAATATGTACAACTTACTGTGACTTCTTTACGCAAAAACCATTGGGGATTCCGCTGACGAGGTCTGCTTAAATGGCCCTTGTCACGCACCTGTGTAACCATAACACCGCAGTTACCGCTGAGCCTGAATACAGAAACAAAATAGTATTAATTGTTCTTTAAAGCAATACAAATTGTACCAACCTGAGACCCAATAATTGGTTAATAACACTCCGCATCATGCTTATATAATATATTTTAACAATGCATAAAACCGAGCCGGTCCGGACTAACCAATAGAGCTGTCAAACCATCGATGGTGTGACTTTATTAGGCAGTACCGATTGTTTTCAGAAAATCACGATAGTATTTAAGATAATATACCACATCCGCAGAGCACATCCGAGCAAAATGTTAAGAATAACATATTTTGCTTTAATTTTGTTTAGTTTAAATAAATAGGTTGTGATGAGTTAGTTTAGCTCTAACTTATTACTAGTAAATAGTAAATTACTACTATCCAATGCTTTATATAAGGCCCTATATAAACATATAAATATAAATATAAATATTTTTCAAACTCTTGTAGCAAAGGATTACATTTCCACTATACCACTTACGTTTTCCACTATTCAATAATAACTTTTGTTAATAAACATGCATTTAACAAAAAAAGAAAACTGTATATTAAAAAAACTATATATTCATTTAATAACTATATAATTATTTATAAATATTTAATTTGCACTCTCCTGCAATTGTTGTGCTTAGTGGAAACATGGTGTAAGATGCGCTTAACAGCACTTTTTATATATTTAACAGCACGTTAAGATAACTTGTGTATTTTTATCAGACCTACATTAATTTTTTTTTTCTAATCGGAGATTTAACAGCCAAAGTAATATATATATTGTGGTGCATTTCGAATACAATGAAATGAAATGTGCAATTGATGCTAAATAATATCCGTTTATTGATACGAAACGCGCGACGCGGTCAATTTGCGTTCTTGGAGCAGAGCAACATTAGATATTGGGAAATTACTCATACACTAATGTTTACTCTGTGAGTAATTTTAACACGGTACAAATGTGTGTGCGGTTGCGGTACGCGAAAAACTACCGACGGTTGCCTTTCGTAACTAAGAGCATTTATTTTTGTACAAGTGAATTCCAATGGGCTAAAGTCATATGAAATGTGTATTGAGATGATCCAATAAACGCTTAATTTTAAGGATTTCATTTATTTATTTGTGATTCCATTACATATCTGTGCTGGTGTGTATCTATGTATATGTACATATATATATTTATATATATATATTATTTAGTTTTTTTTTTTTAAACAAATACATGTATACGAAATAAACAAAGGATTTAGTGTTGCAGTTCATTTTCATCCCAGGGGTATGTTCGAAATCCAAATTATGGTTGTAGTGGCCTCGCAACCTGTTTTAAGACGAATGTTTACATATGTACATCAAAATTTAACAAGTTTATGCAAAAAAAAAGAGAAAAACTCTCGATACAGCCTCCCCTCCCTCATATTCTTACAATTAGTGTTGTAAAGTGCGCAACTCAGTTTTTTATCATTAAGCAAACATAAACTAAAGTTATTTTTAAATATAAAATGTACACAAAATACTTAGCAACAATTCAAAATACAGGCGGTGTGTTCATACATATGTACATAACTACATACCTATGTATATTCAACAACTTTAAGCTGGTATAACTATGTATGGTAAAAACGATAAGATAAATTTAAACGGAGAATGTCTGAGTGTTTTTTAAGCCTTAAAAAGCCAGTATTTAAAAATTTAAAGACTAACTAACGAAAATACATAGCAACAGTTGGGTTTTTTGGGCCGTGCATACAATCAGCTGAAGTTATTTGTTTATTTAACAAATTCGGCCTAGCGTACAATGTAAATAACCTTCGACTGTGATTTACAATCGCTGTTCATGTGTTCGTTTATTTGTATTATTGTTTAGCTCTTGATTATTGTTAAATTAATTTTGCATTTACATGAACCGCTTAGCTTTCTTCATAAAGCAATCGAGTTGCAGTTCATAAGAGTAAAAATAGAAATCGTATATGTTATCAATGTTCAGTGGTCCTTTGCGTGGCATAAAAATATTGCAGGAATGTTGACCAACCGATAATAAAAATAACTTTTTTGCAAATATTTTATTATCTTCTGTGGATATGGTCCATTCGGTAAACGTTTTGAGTTTGGAGAATACATTCATCAGGTTGTTGGTTTATATAATACACAAAGCAATGTTTTATTTGTATAATATTTTGATTATGTCAATCTTAAAGTCCACCAAAAATGATTTTGCAATAAATTCAAAGTTGTGGATTTGTATTTGCCTTAAATGTGTCCGAGAATAAAGGAAACGAATCTTATGTATTTAAAAAGATAATTTTTTTAGTGAAGTCAATTTAATGATCGCAATTTGCAAGCCTTTATTTGATATTTATGTAATGGCTAGGTACTTATCAGCTTGTGGCTAGTATGATTTCGATAGAAAAGTGTTCGCAAATGTATTTAAACTTGTTTTTGGTAAACGCTTCTATATTTGAAAGTGATAAGAAGTTTATGAAAGTGTGGGTGTTTTTCGGTATACGACGATAAGAAGAAAAAACAGTGGTCCGAAATCGATGAAAATTAGTCAGTGACTACCCAACTTTTATCTTAACTTATCATTCTAAGTAATCTATTTGTATATACCATTTTGAAGGCGTACTTTTTCGGTAATTCTTTTGCCGTTTAAAATCAATTGAGATCCACCCTTGAATGAAATATTATTCCACCTTTCAATAATCCCTATTCTAGACAAATTCTAGGTATAATAATAATTTTATTTTATGATTAATTAACAGCTAATTATCACTATTTTAGTAACCAGAGCTACAAAAGAATTTAATTGATTTTTTACTGCAAATAAAAGCGCGTTTATTTCTTCACCGAGAACTGGGGATTCCGAAAATATCGTTGATAAAGAATAATCATGTTATTATTATGCATAATAAAAACCGGATGATGCATGGGTACAAGAATTCTTAATACAATTATATTACTTTTCACACTTATACTTGAAATCGAAAAAAAATGGATTTTAATATTAGTTGTATCCACAGGAATAACAATATGCATCGCCCGCCAACTGAAAATCAGTATTTACATTGAAAAGTTAAAATATTATCGGAGTCATTTTTGCTGTAAATGTTTCAAACACTACAGCACCAACAATTTACAATTATACAGAATATATTTGCAACTGAGAAAGAACTCAACACTGTGAAAATTCGATTTGAGCCTAAAGAAAACTTTAAGAATACTCGGCCAGCAAAATTCTTCAATATTATTAAAACCAAATCCAAAAAACATGGGCGGCGGCAAAAATATACGCCGCGGCTTGGAGCCACTGGAATTTGAGGAATGCATCGTCGACAGTCCGGACTTTCGCGAAAATTTGAATCGCCATGAAAAGGAACTGGATCACACTAGTCATCAAATAAAACGAATAATCAAAGAGGTCAAAGATCTTATGAGTGCAGCAAAAAGTAAGTAGAACAAATGCATTATTCGATTGGAAAAAAATTGGGTTTTAATCAAACAAGGAAAATTCTCAGACTTTAAACAATCTTATGTAAATATTTAAAACAAATATGTATATGATAAACCATTTTCCTTGGGTTGCTGCCAATTTTCCTTTTCATATTTTTAAGGAGACACTATTTTTTCACAAGCTGTTTTCGTTTTCCTTGTTGGAATATCTTGTTTAACGAATCTTTGATATACCAACTCTGATTGGCGTATGATGTCCTTAAGCAAAGCAACATTCTATCGATTTTTCGCCTCTTCAGCCAAGCAGGATTTGTTTCAGCATATTCTTCGTCATCGGGATACTCCAAGAATTTGTCAAATTCACGACCACTACTGATCAAAGTTTGTAGATAGTTTTGATATTGTTTAAATGTAACATAACGCATATTAGGAGATTTTCGGGTCACGGGACGATGATATTCACAGTTTTTATCACGTATCCAATTACGATGATCCAGCAATTTAAACGTACTAAATTCAATATTATTTTCAATGCAAGATGGGTCATTGGCACAGGCTATGATTAAACTACTGTAGAACAATCCATCCCGAATCAGAGTTCTTATATCGGGAGACTCACTAATTACCTTAACTATATCAACAAATGGACCAATATTATTTGGATCCGATGACTTTAGGTTGGTCAACATTGTTGGTGGCAAGTATCCATAGCGAATGTCTTTCATAACCGTGGTTATGCTAGAAGAGCGCTGTGGCCAGCAATGTATAAGCCACTTCAGTGTGCCATATAAAAGCTGTAAAAAAGTAATAGTCATAAAAAAGAATGAACAGATAGCTTCACAGATAAAAAGAACAGTACATTCTAGATCGAAAAAATGGCAAGAAAATGTGATATAAACAATGTGTTTTAGGTTTTTAAGTTGAGAATATGAAAAAGACAAATAAGATAAGAGTTTAGTATCTTGCCAGGTCAATAATGAATACTATCAAATAGATAAGTGTATCATTTTGTTATTTTATAAATATTGATCGTTATCTTAGGATAATATGGAATTATCATGAATGTTCTGCTGTGATTATAGCAATAAATGTAAGCTCACCTCCATTTCGGAGTTCACTGACAAGGTATTGGATTGTAGAAGGCCGCATATCTGAACCTCACTTAAGGACAAAAATTCTTGAGAACATGTAATTGCTAAAGTCGATCTTGCGATACGGTCAGACATCTTTTTAAATATTGGCATTAGCTCACTGGCTTTTCGACTCTCGTACATAACACTAAACGCTGAGAATTCATCGAAAAGATGAGTATCCAGAGTTTTCCAGCAAAGCTCTATTAGCTCGTTTACTTCCAGAAAAAATGCGCTTCTCATAAGGTCGGCAAAATCCAATATATCCAATGTGCCTTGAGTTGAAATCATCCAATTGTACAAATCGCTAAAACCCTTTTGACTTAGTTCTGGAGTCTTAAAAACAATATGACCGCAACATGATGGTATTATTTTAAGCATCACCTTGGAGTAAAAGCATAGAACAGTAGAGTGGCAGAGGAAGGCGTGATCGTTGACAATAACGAATATGTCCGTATTTTCAAATTCCTGAAGTTCCTTTACCAAACGTCTTTTTGGCGTCATATTTGTGTGGGTTAGCATTCTTAACATGGGTTCGTTTTCATTTTTTTTTAACGCACTATTTAAATTCCCCCTAGTTGCTTCCGCAAATTCAAGAATTTGCGTTTCTATTTTACTAATTTAACAAAAAAAAAAAAAAAAAGAATTAAAAATTAAAATCAAATGATATTACTAGATGCTTTTATCTTACTCTTCCACATCATTCGGTTTTGGTTTAAGCAAAAACGGTTGCGTTTTATGCATTTTTTAAGTTTTAGTGTTACGATAAGAATAACTCGTAGTGTTACGATAGAAATGACTTCTAAGAAGTACAAAGCGTAGCCTTCTTTAAAAACAATACTTGTCAAATGGGTTTATAAAATAAGAAATATGTTCTTTATAAAGAAAATTCATGAAATGAAAAAAGAAAAATTGGATTTATTACTACATTATTATTTTGATATTTTTTATATATTTATTTTGAATGTTTTGATCAAATTGCAATTGATATTTTTCAGTGCTGTCCACTAGAATGAAACAATTGGCCATTTTACTTACCGACTTTAACTTTGAGTGCATAGGCACTGCTCAGACCGATGATGAGAATGTCATTTGTGAAAGCCTAAAACGATTCGGTGCTATTATTGGCAATATTGAAGATGAGCGCGAAAAGATGGTAAGTCAAAAGAATGGTTATATTCTCAAACCGACAAATTTGTTAGGATCCAAAATTGAATGTTTTTTTTAATAGCTAACGCTCGCTGATAAACATATTATTGAGTCACTGGAGGATTTTCGAAAAAAGCAAATTGGTGGCGTCAAAGAAAACAAAAAAAAATTTGATAAAAAAACTGAGAAGTTCTGTCAATCACAGGAGCGTTTTCTCAATATGTCAACTAAAAAGCCCGAAAACACAATTCAGGAGGTAAGTTATTAATAATTTTCGGGTTTTTTTCCTCAATTAAGAAAAACACAATTTCTAAATAATTTACACTAAGCAAACAATGAATTCTAAGAGGTTGATGGTCGATTTATCTTTGGGCTGAGTGGTATATAATTTTAGATATTATTTATAAAACTACAGACACTACACATTGTTTTTTGATAATAATATTAACAATATTAATATTTATTTCTTTTATAGGCTGATGCTAGCTTGGGCATGCACGAGCGCGAATATATTCAAGAGTCACTGAGCTATGTTTTGCGCATACAAGAAGTGCAGGAACGAATCAAATTCGAATTTGTGGAGATATTGCTCGCATTTATTTCTGGCTGGTTGGTTTTTTACCACACAGCTCACGAACAGGCAGAGGATCATCGTGACTACCTGCAGGATTTGAGGCACAAGGTCCAGAAAGTAAGTTGGCGATTAATCATTGTTTTCACTATTTTGATTATAAATCAATCAAATCTTTATCACTTTACAGACTCGTGAAAATTTCGAGGAGGCCCGCGAAAAAGTGACTGAATTGAAAACAAAGTATATGGAAAAGCGCACAGTAAGTCGATAATACAAAATATCTATATATAGAACATTATTTTCTAATACATCATTTTGTTAACAGAAGCCCGAGGAAATTTTTACAAAACGTGGCTATTTATTTCTGATGGAAAAAAGTACGTGTTTTTACTTACGTTTACTTATATAAGATAAGATTATTATTATTACTGGTTGACTGGTTGACTGTTATCATTTTGATGATCTGTTTTGCTAAACCTATAATATAATACTATTATATTAACTAATATATATTTAAACCAAATTCCTGTAGTTTTGCGTAGATAGTCTTTTTAAAAGAAAGATTCAATGCTACTTCAAAAATAATGTAATGATAATTGAGTGCCTTCAACTAATTGTTTATTGCAACCGAATTATAGGTTCCATTCTGAAAATCTCCCTTTTAGAGCCATTCAAAGCAACGTGGACAAAATACTATTGTACATTCAAGAAGCAGAAGCGGGAATTCACAATGTTACAGTTTAATCAAATGAATCACAATTTTACGAGGCCCGAGGCACGTGATGACGAGAAACTAACGCTCTTCTCCTGCCAGCGACGGGCATCTGAGTTCGAGAAGCGGTTTTGCTTCGATTTGACTTTTAAGGAAAAACCAGGAGTCGTTTATACATTTCAAGCTTTAAGCGAAAAGGATCATCGGTATTGGATAAGTGCTATGGATGGCACGGAGCCGGTAAGTTTAATTTACTAGAATATATTTTTTTTTATTTACTATTTATATTAACATTTTCGTTTAAAGACATATTTGGCTCCCGGTAAAATCAAAGTCAGCGAGGCCTATCAACTGGATGAACCCGGATTCATGTTTATCCGCAGATGCATACAAGTATTAGAAATCCGAGGTCTGGAGGATGAAGGGATTTATCGGAAAAGTGGTGTTGGAACCAAAATCAGCAAGCTTTTGGCTTTGGGTCTCAATCAAAAGGAAACCGATGATGTCTTTATCGACGACAAGTATCGTGATTTAATGGAAAGCAACACCATAGCTAGTGCTCTAAAAATGTATCTGCGGAATCTAAATGAGCCATTGATGACATATCAATACCACAGCGATTTTATTGAAGCAGCAAGTAAGCTTATTATGGTCTAAATATTATGATAATATAAAATATTAAATAAATGATATTTTCAGAGCAAGAAACCTTAAATCAACGCGTGAACGAGGTGCACAAGCTGGTCTACAAATTACCGCAACCTAATTTTCAGATGCTAGATATGGTTATTCGTCACTTAACAGAGTAAGTATCCATGTAATAGTTGGTTTTAATTATATTAATAATTTTAAATAATTACATTTTTAGCGTTTCACGGAAGTACGAAAAGAACAAAATGTCCGTATTTAATCTTGGAGTGGTTTTCGGGCCAACATTGTTAAGACCACGAGAAGAATCAGTGGCAGCCATATTGGATATCAAGTTTAATAATATCGTCATCAACATTCTAATTGATAACTATGAGAGGATTTTTAAGAACAAACCTAGCGCTGATGTTAAGTTACCAGATGCTACGAAAGCACCGAGCATCATGTACCCAAATCGCAGCAGTCCACCGACTCGAATGCCTCGGGCATCTCAAATAGGAAAAGCCGCTTCTACGGGTGCCATGGGCACCAGTGGTAGTAGCAGTACCACGGCGGGAAATCAAATGTTCTTAAATCAGCAGAAAATCTATCGAGTCGTCAGCAAATCCAACTGTACAGAGCCCTCGATGTCATCTAGCCTGCAAAATATTCCAAATGGCGACAATTATGCCCTCGGATCGAACGTAATGAATAGTTCGGGTGGTGGAGCTGGGTGCATATCCCTGTCGCCACCAATGCACATGTTAAATGGAATACTATCACCAACAATCGGTAGCATCAATAATCTTCACACAATATCGAAAAATGAAGCAAGCACACGACGTTATGTACCCAGCTCATGTACTGACACTGATGTCGCGCCCGATTATGGTATCATAAGTGCTAACAATGGTGGTTTGGCGTTACAATCACATCATGCCATCCCCGTGAGTAGCACAAGTAATTTTCGACATCCTGAGTACCTAATGACCACGGCAACGCCAGTGACTCAGTCTGGCTCCAGTAGCCATATATATACAAACACCTCTAGTGGTGGTGCTGCTACCTCAAGCAATCGGATTAGCCTAAACAATGTTTCCCCGCCAAATACCGCAATGCGAAAGGAGCGATTTCTGGGCAGTGCCAGTGGTCCACAGCAGCATCCACCCGTTCAACGGGGTCTGTACTCGTACGGACAGACAAAACATTATTCCCCCTTAATGCCAACATCAACATCGAGCTCTAATGACAGCGTATGTGATTCACTTTCTTCCAATAATGGCTTGGGCAGCTCTATTGTCGCAACAAATAGTAGCAGTGCGAATGTTGCACAGCATTTAAGCACACGAAACTCTAATGACTATGCACTGACAACGTCACAGAATTCATCGTTGTCGCCACTTCTGGGAACCACCTGCGATGAGGTCGTTACGGCCACAACATTGCCCTCAGTTAGTCTAAGCTGTGGCGGCACCACAAACGATAGCTCCGAATATCCGCCAAGTAAAATGCATCGTAATCGTGACATAAACCAAATAAAACGTGATTTGTCAACGGGCACAGCGTAAGTAATTTATAATGCATTTTCCTACGTTCCCTTTGCCATATCATCCATATTAATCATATTGTTAAAAGGAAAATTCATTAAAAGTTGTTCTCATTTTTATAGTCGTGTGCGCACACTTTATGCTTGCATGGGAGAAAGTGAGGGAGAGCTGTCGTTTGAGCCCAACCAAATAATAACCAATGGTAAGTGAAAACTATATCGTTTGTAAATATTTATCCGATTCTATTTTCTAATTTCTTTGATTATAGTTCGTTACTCGCACGAACCTGGCTGGCTGCAAGGTACGCTAAATGGCAAAACAGGACTCATTCCGGAGAACTATGTGGAACATTTGAAGCCTCACCATTAGATTTTCAGTTCAGTAGAGTTCTCTATTATTTTTTGCATTCGTCGGTAGATAAAATTAAAATGAAAGAAGAAAAAAAAATAGGTAATCTGAATATAATCGTTGTGTAAAAAACTAATTTTTGATTACCCATTTACCCATGGGGTTTTACATGAGATGCATTTTATTTTATGCTGGAAACCAGGAAACCACAATCTTACCTTATAAATATGTTAACCTTTATAATACCATGACCATACAATGTACTTATTTTTAATTATTTAATAAGGAGTATAAACTCAGTGCAACTGCAAAGATTTATTTACTAATTGTTACGCTCTTCATTTGTTGCTTATTTATACATAATTCACGTAATTTGTGCAAAAATGGATTACATCGTATCTAATATCTACTACATATACAATTGTATAAAAAAATAAATAGCAGTGCTTCGATCACTTTTAAAATGTAAACATTAAACTGAAGTCTGCCATATACCATATCAAAAAAAAAAAATAAAATAATAATAATAATAAATATTTTCTTAGCAAGGCAAAGAAAACGTAGAATGTTGAAAAAATTGTTTGATTATCAAGAGTTTTCATAAAAACCAAGAAATCTGGGCGGTTACCAAGAAATATCCTTTGTTTAAGTTTTAAATAGCAATTGATTGGTTTTATTAAGGGTCAAGAAATTATGAAATTACTTATTTTTATATTTATTTTCAAGATTGTGTTGTCTCACAGCCTTTATACTTTGTATTCATTTTTGTTTATTTTGTAAATTTGTCATTAATTCAGGTCAGCAGTTGCTATTATCTGGCATGAACTCCTTCTGAAGGAGACAACAGAGCCATTCATTAGCATTTACTTGTTAAACCATTTCTGAATTAGTTACTATATTGTTTGTACAGATCTTTATATATGCGCATTAATAAACATATTTAAAAACTCAAATAGGCTGAGTTTATTTTGTATTCAAACAAATATTAGATAGTCATTGAATTCATGTATTAGAAGTTGAATAATTATATTTTTACCCACAATGCTCATTATTTCATTTCACAAATTGTAGCACAAATGCTTTTCTTTTTAAAAATCACCACAACTTTTGTCAATTTCAGTTTCCATAAAGCTTTATTTGTTATAAAATGATATTGTTAGTGGTATTCTTATAAAAATATAAATAAATAAATATTTGTGTAAACATTTTTATATAATTTTCATGTTATAAACACTCCACCCACTGTTTCAATAGTTTAAAACAATGCCTTAGGCAGATGAATTATTATAAAAGTATTGAATATTACCCCTTGTGGTCCAACGGAAGTCCATTAAACAATAAACTATTATCTGCGCTTAATTCTCTTGGCCCTTCACCAACTTTTGTATGAATTATATATCTAAAGGCATTTTTTGCATGACTATCTAATGATTCGATTTTGATTTTTTGAGAAGCCTCAATTTTCGGATTACTATCTAGTTTTGGAACGGCAAGACCACGTAAGTACGCAGCACTATCCATTATATCACTTGGAAACACTTTTTGAACTGCATTCAGAAGACTCGGAACATTTTCCTCCAATACGTATAGGCAAGCATTTGGTCCAGCGTCGAAGGTGTATGCAGCATGATAGCTTCCCATTATCTCGTTATAGTCGTGAACAAAAGATACAATCCTATGAGATACATCGTTCATATACACACATGGTGGATAAGTATCCAAGGCAACGGCGTGAAACTGATTTGAGTCCTTCATCGTAATCTCGGCGAATGTTTGAAAGTCATGATTAGCAATTGCTTCCCTTAATTGTGTTATCCTCTCAGGTACAACTTTCTCTACACGATGCTTTATCAATTGTGATGTTTTCACCGTCTGCTGCATTCCTTTTGTCGAACCAGTCTTTTTCCGTTCATCATTAACAACCAATATGAGTACATGCATGTTTGGCCAGTGTGTTGATGATGCAATTGGTTTGGCCACCGAATCAATGCCATTATCAAGAGCACCACGATGCCATTGTACAAATCCGCCATATAAGCTGCGACATGCTGATCCACTACCTTGTCGTGCCACAGTTGTTAGCTCTTCGTTTAGCGGGATGTTATAAAGTCGAGATAGGGAGTATACCAGGCAGGCATAGCCTGCTGCACTGGATGCCAGTCCAGCAGCGGTAGGAAAATTGTTAACCGACGCAATGTGTATCTTCCAGGATGGAGGAACCTTCTGATTGCCATTCTTTAGTGCCAGGCGGTGAACTGGAAATATTTTTAATATATATATTATTAAAAGAATCGTACTTTACAGGCTAACAAACCTCACCTTCTTTTAAACAGCGTTGCAAACGTGAACTCTCTTCAAAAGGCACCTCATCTCCATTTAACCACATTCGATTCTGTTCGAAAGTTTCTGAAGCAGTTACTGTAGTCTTGGCGCACAACTTAAAAAGAAAACAAAATTTTAAAAATATATTATTGTCAAGTTAAAACTATCCATTTTTTTTTTTATCACTTTCAGAAGTTTTAATGAACTTTTTCGAAATATAATTGTTACAATAAATTGATAGGAAAAATTAAAAATCAAAGAAAATGAGGAGAAAAGTGAAAATTTTTGAGCCTATCAACAAAAGTTAAATAGAAAGTTTTTTTTTATCATATTTACTTTCGCTTGCGAGTGTAAACCGGCTTCACACTTCACGCTCATTAAAAGTATGCACATAATTTATTTACCTTATACAGATTTGATAAAAAAAAAAATGAATAGTTAAATAAAATTGTCGGTAATATTTACATCATCTGTGCTAAGAGTCATGCTAATGGAATCATTGACGGGCAGTATCAAGTCTTCATGACGCTTTCCCCCTAAAATAAAAGGAGGACCATAAGCCACTTGTGTTGACTGAATGCCACTGAGTTGTACTTACAATATTTTATTAAAGCTATATTCACAGGGGCTACACAAGTTACTGATATCATTTTAAGACACAAACACTTATTATTTACAAAAATATACTTTGATTTAGTTTATTTCCACTTTCCAGGCGAAAGCGACTAACTGTTGACTGCATATAGTAGCGAATAGATTGTTGGAAAATACCAAGGTATTCTAAAAGTAGTATGACCATTCAGCGTGGTGTGAAACTCTGCTACTTTTATTTTATGGTTTGTGTAAAAAAAAGTAGTATGGGTATTCTTATATTGCGAAGTGAAGCTTTGCTACTTTTATTTTATAGTTAGTGTCAAGACTAACAGTTTGCGTCGTTATATTTAAAAATTTATCAAAATTGCATACAATTTTTACTCATATTTTTAAAACACTTAACATTTCGTTTCAATTTAAGTTTTTATTTTTAAACCAATGGTTTTTAGTAAGTAATCATTAGTCGTAATAAAAATATAGAAAATACATTAGCGATAATTATAGATCTGTGTATGATTTAATATTTCTTTGTGAATACTTGCAGCCGCAACCATTCCGAGTTCGTGTATTTTCAAATTAAATAGGTTTAGTTTCTTTTGGTTGTGGTTTTTGAGAGACGCGGGTTGAAAAGCAGGCAGCGCATTAACTTGGTTAACGTGTATGAATCGAATGAAATGGATGGGACTAGCCCTTGAGGCTCGTCATGCCTGCACGCATCACCTCGTCGACGAGTAGCAGGTTGCTGGCGATGATTAAGCAGGAGTTGAGGATCTGCTTCTTCACGATGTAATTGTCATAGACACCGAGATCGACGGGATTCATGGGTTCGCCAGTGGCCAGGTCAAGACCGACCAGTTCGGGATACAGGCGATCCTCCACAGTCAGCTTGACGATTGTGTCCTGGGCATCGTAACCGCTGTTGACGGCCAGAGTTTTGGGAATGACCAGCAGAGCATCGGCAAAGGCCTGTACTGCTAGACGGGACTTGCCCTTGATGGTCTCCTTGAAGGCGACCAGTTCATTGTAGGCACGCACCTCAAATGCACCAGCTCCGGGCACCAAGGCCTTATCGGCAATGGTGTTGTTGATAGCCCTCAGACCGTCCCTGATAGCATCCTTGATCTGGGTGATCGTGTGCTTGTTGGGACCCTTGATCAGGATCGTGACAGACAGCGGGTTCTTGCAGTCCTCCACGAAAGTATACTTGTTCTCACCCAGCACATGCTCATAGACCACACCAGCGTAGCCCAAGTGTTCCTCCTGCAGATCGTCAAATGAGTTCATGGCAGTGCCACCACAGGCGAGCGCCAGACGCTCCATGTTACGGCGCTTGGCGCGACGCAGAGCAAGGATGCCCTCCTTGGCCAGGGCGTCCAGGGAGATGGGGTCAATGCCCTTCTGGTTGATCAGAACAAAAGTTTTGTCGGTGCCATCGCATACAGAGCGCTTCAGTTCGATCACCTTCTTCACACGCTGGTCGATAAAGTCACGCTCGGCGCGCACAAAGGCCTCACGCTCTTCGGCGGTCTTGTAGAAGAATCCCGAGTTCACCTCGGCCTTCTCGTACTCCAGCGAGACGTTGGCCGTAAGGATGTAGGCATTCTCCAGGCGCTTCGGCATATCCGGGTGACGGGCACCATGGTCCATGACCAGGCCACGCACCAGCTGCGTATCTGTATCGGTTTTGTGCTGCATCTCCATTAGCTCCACCATATGGAGGTCCACAGGTTTGGTTTTATCGGCACTGGCAATGGTCAGCACGGCATCGACACAGACATCTGTGAGCAGATCGGCCAGGGCAGGATGCACCTTGGTCTTAAGGCTAGTGTTGGCCACCTCCACCAGGCTCTTCTTGTTGATCTCAACAGGCACTTTGACTTTGTCGAGCACCTCCAGTGCCTTGTCGCGAGCCTTCTCGAATCCCTCTGTCATAATTCGGGGATGCAGACCCTCGGACAGGTAGATATCCGCCTGCTTCAGGAGCTCTCCAATGAGCATCACCGTGGTGGTGGTACCATCGCCAGTTGAATCATCCTGAGCAGTACTGGCCCTGGCAATCATGGAGGCAGTGGGATGCTGGATCTGCATCTCATGGAGCAGCACATTACCGTCTTTGGTAATCTTGATATCGCCGGCGCCAGAAACCAACCTGCGAAGTTTCTAGAATTAGTATGTTTTTCTTTTCGCACAGCGCGTGAGTCAAGTCACGCCTCTTTCTGTCTCACTTTCTGAATCACACAAAGGTTTATGCGAACAGAACTTAATTTTTTACTAAAAAAAAGTCTTTTACGGCAAGTATCATTTAAGGTTCCTCTTGTAATTTAATAAAAACATAAATATTAAGCTTTTTTCTTTCCGACATTCCCTCTCTTTCCCTTGCGATGACGCATGCCGCTAGTTCAACTCCAACCTCAAACTTGCCGTCGCCGCAGCTGTGGCCAAAAGTTATGTTTTTATATATATTAGCTATACTTTTGACTTAAACTCCTATCGCAATGTAAAGTGAGACTTAATAAAAGTAATGCTTAGTCACTTACATTTTAACTGTGCCCTTAGGACCCAAATTGGTACGCATCACATCCTGCAATCCCTTGGCGGCACTGATATTGATGGCCAGAGCTTGGGCGGCGCGAGCAAACTCGGCCTTGGGGTTCAGCAAGCTAATCGAAGCCATCGCGTCTCGTTGTTAAACAATAATTTTCCTTATTGAACAAATTAAATCAAGAAATCAGCTAAACGAAACACGCTGAATGTGAGCCGAAGAAATCAGATGACAAATGTGACCAAGTCAGGCAAATACCAAAAGGTTATTCATTTCATTCATTCCTTCATGGCACTATCGATATTAACGATGTTTTATGAAAATCAAATTATTTTAGATCAGAAATATAGTTTATGTTGTCATTAATTATATTATTTTGAATTGGAAACCCATCATACCGAATGTTTATAAGCTTTAAATTTTCCAAAATCAAAGAATATAATTTTTCAGAAAAATTATAACTTATAATAATAACGGCTTATATATATATATATACAATATAATAGGATTATTTAAGTTAACAAAATTAAAGTAATAATCGAAATGTAGATTTTGAAATATTAATGTTTTGTAAGTATTTACGCTTTTTGAGTAAGCAAAAATAGATAGGCTAGCTACCGCCGATGTCGATAAGCAATCGAAATGCAACCGTGCGCCCAAACCCCAAACACAAAAAAAACTTGTATTGGCAAAATCGGAATAAAGTAAAAATAAAGCAGGATATTTGAGTGCGCCGACCACAGAGCAGCGTACCGAGAGCCCCAAATTAAATTGCGAGCGTTCACAGGACAGGACGAGGATTCGCAGGCTACACGATGAGTGTCCTGGCGTATCCACGTACCAACGACGAGGAGATTTTCCGTCACTGCACCAAGGACTGCGGCGTGGTGACGGCCACAGAGGACTTCCAATACTTCGCACTGCGATGTATCTTCTGCAGCGAAAAGTTCCTCTATTTCGACTCCTTCATTGGCCACATGCAGACAGTCCATCTGGGCGATCAGTCCGTGGCGAATCCCGCCTCCCGTCTATCCTTTAGTCTAGGAGAGCCAATGTCCCTGTCGAGTCGCAACGGGGATCTGCCTAACTTCCACGAGATCGAAGACTTAACGGACGCAGACACGGCTCTGCTGGAGCCGCAGATGGTCATCAAACAGGAGCTGCAAGAACTGCCATGCAGCGACGATGATGTGGTTGCGAATGAGGATGACGACGACGAGCACAGGTTACCCGATTCTGATGTCGGCGAGGATGAAGACGAAGCCATACTGCCCGAGAACGATGTTCCAGTAGTCAGTTCCAAGCCACGACCGCGCAAAAAGGTCACGAAGCAGCGCCATAGGGACATTTCCAGCGAGGTACTCATCGCCGGCGACGGTGACTCCTCCATGGACGACTATGGTGATCCAGACAACAGCTACATGGACGACAACTCCGGCGAGTACATGGACTACGGCGGTTTCGACGGTGCCAACCACAGCGGCTTCGGTCCAGAATCCGACTTCCTCAGTTATGATGAGATGGTGGAGGAGTCTTTACTGGGAGTAAGCATATTTTTTTTTTACACTATATATTATTTTATCACGAAAATATCTTTTGAAGAATATAAATGCAGAAAAAACATGTAAGAGTTTTAGGTATTTACAAAATGAATTAAGAATATTGAACATTTTTCGTATATGGAATTACATTTATTTCACCCTTAATATTCACTAATTTCCATATAACATTTTTGTAATGATTGTTTTGTTACTTTCCCACCCCTCAGCGCGACCGGGAGGTTACGATGCATATTAAGGACCGCAAGATGATCCAGTTCCTCATCCACTCGTATCAGCGCAACCCCTTTTTGTGGGACCACGGCAATGCACAGTTTCGGGATCGTGTGAAGCGCGCCCGCTTTCTCGACTGGATTGTGCTAGAGTTCAAGAGTCGCTTCAATATCTCACTGGCCAAGGACGCCATCACCCGTAAGTGGGACAACCTGCGGACGGTGTACAAGCGGGAATGCAATCGTATGGCCCTAGAGAAGACCAATATCAGTACGCTGTGGTACTTTAAGGAGCTCCATTTCCTCAACGAGGTATACAGTTACAACGATAAGATGTCCGATGCCGTTGTCAAGGTTAGTGGTCATCCCTTTAAATCGATCTATCTGGCCGAATATGTTGAACGGGGGTTGAATCATACAACAGCGGGTTAATTAACATAAAAGTGGGGCGGCTTTAGAGCAAATTCTTATTCACATTATGTTCGTTTAAATATCAGAATTTATTTACTGAATTTTTTTCTTCACTACTGAATTAGCGCTTTAAAAATATATTATCTGCTTACCTCATCATAACATTCATAAATTTCTAATCAGAATTTAGAAGTGCATATGAAATGAGATTTGGGGTGGGAATATGAAATGGTCAATCAATAACTCTACTCCTTCCGGCAGGAAACCTCCTATCGACGCCGCTTTTCGGCCATTTGGAACGACACGTCCACGGCCAAGCTATTGAGCATGGTGAAGAGGTATCAGTGTTTTTACAATCGCTTTGATCCTGACTATCGCAGCAAGGAAAGACGAGGCGAGGGACTCCATCAGATGGCCATTGAACTGCAGCAGCTGATCGACGTAACCACCATTCAGATCTCGAAGCGAATTTCCCAGCTGCGCTTCGACTACTCCAAGCAGAAGATGGAGCGCCTCAATAGCGAGCGTCTGGGAAAGAAATTCATAGCGAACTATATATACTACGACCAGATGCACTTCATGGACGACGATATACCGCCTTTCAAGTGCCCGCATTGTCCGGAGATTGTGCAAACACTCAGAGAACTGGACCTCCATATGCTCACTCACCAGCCCAGTTTGGGTGGCGGTTATTTCTGCAATATTTGCAGCATCCAGTTCCACAATGCGGAGGAGTTTGATAGCCACAAGCAGTTGCATTTGGGCGGCGTAACCGAAGTAAAGTTCAATTGTGAATTGTGCACGGCCAGCTTCCGGGAGAAGGCTAACTATGATGAGCACCTGCGGCGGCATAACGAGGAGCTGTTCCTTCCCTCACTGGCGCTTAATCACAGCATTATGGACGGTGGTGTTGGGGATGAGGAAATCAAAACTGAAGGCGAAGAATCCCGAGGCAGCGGCACTCGACGAAGAAAAAAAGCTTCCAAGTCAGCTGTTGATATTGCCGACGATGAAGATCCAATGGGCGGTGGTGGTGGCAGTGATATTGCCAAGCCATATGGATGCGAAGTGTGTCGCCGCAGCTTTGCCACGCCGGGTCACCTAAATGCGCATCAAATTGTTCATCAGGATGAGCGGGAGCGGTGCTATAAATGCGACTATCCGCAGTGCAATAAATCGTTTGTGGCGCGCAACAGCCTGTTTGAGCACCTGAAACAGCACTATAGCAACGAGGAGTTCAAGTGCGATATCTGTGGCAAGACATTTAAGTCTACAAAGAACCTGCAGAACCACAAACAAATCCATGACAAAATCAAGCGTTACGTCTGCCAAATCTGTGGTTCGGCGTTCGCCCAGGCGGCTGGTCTCTATCTGCACAAACGTCGGCACAATCGACCCAATGGAGCCGTCGGAGCTGTTGGGCGTTCGGGTCGTAGTAGTCTGTGAGATAGGGATTGGGAGAGGGACAAGGACAAGGACCATTCCAAGGCCAAAAGCCGCGGTCGGGGGCGCGGTCGTGGCCGTGGGCGTGGTCGCTATGTCAAATAGTTTTAAAAGTAACTGAAACTGCAACTGTAACGTCTTTAAATTGCCAGCAATCCAGGCAGCTTAGTTAGTTTTTTTTAATATTAATTTTAGGCTCGGCCCTTTTTGCAATATGATTCGGTTCGGAATTAAAGCCAGTTAACTGAAACTTAATAGGATTAATCAGAAACCTTAATCGAAGTTTCTCTTCGTTACAAATATTCTTATTTGTACCATTTATATTGCTTGAATCGTAAAATTCAAACAGCAGGGTCTCTTGTATTATTTTGTTTTATATTTTAATTTGATTGTGTTTTATATTATATAAATCCAATTTACCTGTAGTCGTACTTAAAAGCAAAAAAGTATTTAACAACGCCCATTAATGCAACTTTAGTTTTAAGCAAAATGGCAAACACTTCCTTCCACTTCCCAATGATTATTGAGTAAGTTCAAATAGAAAGAGATAGAGGCAGGAAGGGGCCAAAAAAGAGAGGGATAGATCGGTACTTATAACAAATAACAAATACTTAACATTTCAGTGCCAATTTCGAGTTCTTCTACCCCAAACACAACACACAAGGAAACACAAAGATTGTAATTAACCATGTAAGAATTGTAAACATTCCTCCTCATCCCCTCCGTTCCCAAAATCGATGTGAGCGAGTCGATACATTCCAGAACTAAGTATTTCATAAAGTATTCTATGTACTAACTATATATTTATACGAAAGTGAACTAAAAGTGCAGACAACCATATATGCCATCAAACTGATAAACCGAACAGAAAACCAAGCCACTTATGCCGATAATTAACAGCAATAACTATTTTACTAAGCATCTAACAATTATGTTTAAGCCACTAAAACCGAAATACACACATACATACACAAAATATAATGTACTGCACGGTGAGTGATGCAGCTTTAAGGCAATTGCTATTGCCTTATGGTTACGAATCGCACTGTCCGCGAATGACTGAATCTGTAATACATTTCGAGGCGAATTAGTTTCTCGAAAATCGCGCCGCTTCGTCCTGTAATTGTAACCTTAACCGTATATTGTAACCCTATTTGTAAATATATAACTCGAGCAGGCCGATTAACTATTAACATACATATTAGCTATAGCCATGGCAATATAGCATACGGAAACGATCGCCCAGTGTTGGGCGAAGCTTCATCTAATCCTAAGTTCATTTAGCACAATTTCGCGGACCACACGGATCTGCCAGCTTACTCATGCGAAATAAACCAAAATCCAAGATCTTGCTTATCAACGATCGTCGCCGATAGCGGATTCACTTGGTTTACTTTTTGGATTTAGTCGAGCATTCAAACAAATTGTGAAATAGTTAACAGAAAACGAGGAGACAAAATAAGAAACAAAACAATTAAGAGCCAGAAGGAGATTAATAATCACAAGAATCGTAACAAAAGTGCGCTTCCAGGAGAATCAGACGGAAAAACCACAACCTACAAAAAGCAAAGAGAAACTCATCCGAAACAAAAACGAAATATTTAAACAAAGTAGAATCGTAATGACTATTTTAACAAAACATAATAAGCGTCTTCTAAAAATGTAAATTAAATAAGAGAAAAAATGTAAACAAATCACAATTTTATTTATCCTAGTAATATCAAATGAGATTTTAGTACGATACAATATATACAAACACACACATATTCGAAGTATTCTCGAATAAATAGGTTTAAATATTTAAAAACAAAACAACAAACCATCTGTGTTTTATTTATTACACTTGAATTTTCATCCAAAGATAGCAGATGACGTCGTTATCAGTATCTTTACAGTTGTTGTCGCACGTCTGGTAAATACTATATAGCAAGTAAGCTAGTTATACTTTGGAATTATCGTGCTTGTTTTTACCATTTAAATAATATATTTTTAATTGTGTTGACGTCATATAAAGTGCAAAGTCATGCTTAGATGGGAATTCGAATGTTTGCCTGTATGACACCAAACTAATTGATTGGATTTTTCTAAAATGCAAAACTCTTTACAAAAGTTCATAGTTATAAAAGACACACTCATTAAGTATTTAATATATATGTATAACAGACTCCGGAGCTCTCTAAATCCCGATCAAACTAACGGGCACGTGTCGTCACTTTAAAAAGTCCGCTGTTGTTAGCCAATTCGGAGGCATATCTTTCTGGGTTTGTGTCATCGCAAGTGGCTGGCCCCCAAAGCCCCTAAGACGCAGAAGCGATCACTCGGCAGGGGCGTGTTCTATATACACATTTATAAACTATAGTCTAGCGCCATAGCCGTATATAAATATATGTATGTATACACATAAATCCGCGGTAAATTTCACCATTGCTTTGAAAAGAAGGCAGCGTGCCAATTTTTATTTTTGCGATAATTAGCACCCCGGCTGTGTTTTGATCGATCCGATCAATTAGCAACCTGCTACCACCAACCCCTCCACTACTATTGGGTTCTAGGGCACTCCAGATACGTCGAATTTTGACTGGACGGGATTTCTAGTTGTGCGGTAAACACATTTATCAGCGTCTAGTATATATGCGTTTCCGTACACAGAAAGAAAGCCGGGTGCATATCAAATTAAGCAAATAATGAATACTAAGTAAATATAGTTTTAACAAAAGGTTTGCTGACCATTGCATATTTAAATATCTTTTTAATTTAATATTTTTATGATTAAATATATAACATCCTTTGCATTTCTGTGTACCCCGATTAGATAGTCCGTACAGGAATAACAGATTTAGTCATATTTATAAACGTTTTAGCTTTCGAACTGGGCGTTCTTTTAATCACTTTTTAGGCATTACTCACGGCCCGAAACAATCAACAATTACAGTACAATTATCATTTACAGCCGTCTGAGCTCGGAACAATATGTGGGATTCCGGTTTGTAATTGGTAACTTGGGTGCTTGGGTTCAATGTGCTTCTCCCGTTTCGAGTGTGTCCTCCTTGGACACGATTCGTAGGTTGACGGCACCAGGTTGTCTCCTGTACTGATGCCCCTTGACTAGAGTTTCTAAATGAGCTCACCGTGCTCATTTACCTTGATCACTCGGACCCGAGCATGCCGATCAGCTAGTACTTGATCGATATTCTTGCTGGTACTGATTCCGGAACTAATACTACTATCGCCATCGCTCCCAGTGAAGAGTCCCAAATTATCTTTGATCAAATGGTCAACGGCACAACCGTCACACTGCAGGATTACAACACCGCTGTAGTATGCCTCCTCGCTGATAGTCTTCGTATTTCGAGTGTTGCACAGCTTGCAACGATATACTAACTCCACCCGGCGTTGCATCCGACCGAAACGCTTCAGTGTTGTCGGCGAAAGGGAGCCATTTCCCTGGTTTCCGGAGGCAGTGCGTCCGAGGTCAAACGGTTTGGCCGAAAACTGGCACGCATCGAGTATGGAGCGCGGTATGGAGAGCGGTGTGGGACGCGATGCCTTTAGCAGCTGGTCGGGATCGGTGGTTAGAGGTACGGCGTCCACTGCCTGCTGCTGCTGGGTGGCGTTGAGAATAGCGTTCTGTCCATTCTGGCGCAAATAGTTGAGCGTTCGTGATGTGAAGATGTTGCGCAATGCGTTCATTTTATGTCCCTCTCAGTCGGTGCTGCACATTTGCGTTCCTCCTTCTCTTATCGCCTGCTGCAGTGCGTCTTTTTTTTTGACGCCGCACGTGCTGAATGTTGGGTAGTTACTGCGTTTTGTTTTTCCCCAATTGGGGAAAGAAGTTGGTTGAATGGGAGCAAGGAAAACAGCTGATGGTTATCGCTATCGGAATAGTGTTTTAGGTTAGCTGAAAATGCTAGCTTTTTACCACCAAAACACAGATCAGATAGTTAAGCTATTTTATCGCCAGATTTTGGTAGTTTAAGAGACTGGATAACGAAATTTTAACACATTGGCATAAAATGAAATTTGTAACCAAGTTATCTTTTTTTTTTTACCCATCCATAAGATTCTTTATTTGGTATTTAAATATATCAAGATATCATTGAATTTTATTTCATGAATCCAATTCCATCACTGTGGGCGCTTATCGAATTCGATAATCACAACAAAGGACAATCGGTGAAGAAACCTAACCGGCTATTATATTATATAGCCATTATATATGATACGTTACCGAACCCATCTGCAAGAAATGGCCAATTAGTTGCTTTTGGATAAATCAACGTTAAGATAAACGCCATGAACTTTGCACGTCTGGGAATCGAGCAAGTGCTCTTGCGAGGACTTAGAACTCCTCGCCAGCAGCTCCAGGCGCAGTGGATGACGAACCGGCGAAGGTGGCTGGCTAGTGAAGCCATTTCTACGTCTCCGACAACAGCACCCGCTTCTCCTACACCAACTGTTCCCAGAAAACAAGCTCAGGTTCAGGTGAAACCAATGCCGATGGCCGAGGAGCGCCTAGAATCCATACTATCGCCCATTCGCACCAGAATCATTCGGAAGAAGCGATTGGCCATCGATGAACTGTCCGCTCTGGGCTTCCTCAATACCCGTGGCTTTACGACTGCCGAAGAGTACAACCTAGAAGATCTGCAAATAGCGCTTCGTGAACAGAATCTGTATGAAACAAAGCGTTTCTTTTCCACAGACAATCTGGATATGGAGCAGAACGTTCTCTTTGTGGCAGCGAAATATCCGACGGGACAGCAGCCACGAGAGATATTCTTTTTCCGCGAGGGTTCGGTGGTCTTTTGGAACTGCAGCGACATCGAGACAAACAATGTGCTGAGTTTCCTGCGCTCTTTCGAAAGGGAATCGTATGTGAGTGCCTTGGTTCACGGGGAGAGCGAAGTGATGCCGTACACCTATATACCATCGACTGCGGTGGATGTGGAGGGCGATCTGGTGGCTGAAAGCAGTGATTTTAATGTGACGTCGCGTGCCTTCTTTCAGAATGGCAAGTTTTTTGTCACCGCCGATACAGATAGTTTTTTGTACAAGTACACATTCTCCAATGCAATGGCGCAGTCGATCAAGTTAGGCATTTGGGAGGCCACACTGGATCGGTATATAGATTCCATAGAGCATCTTACCGAAGATCTGAAGCGGGGCCGCCGACTGAAGATCTCACGGGCGGCCATGCTTCGCAAAACTGGCGAACTCTTTGCATTGCGTCATGTGATCAACCTATCGTCGGACCTTTTAGATGCCCCCGATTTCTATTGGGATCGAGAGGAACTGGAGGCACTTTACCTGCAGGTGTGCTCCTACTTTAGTATAACTCGTCGCACCAAAGTGATGAACGAGAAGATCAACCATTGTGTGGAACTGGCCGAACTGGTTTCGCACAACCTTAACGATGCCCATCACATCCGTTTGGAGTGGATGATCATTATCCTAATCATGGTGGAGGTGGGTTTTGAGGTACTGCACTTCGTCAGAGATCACAGTGATTCCCACAAGCTTGAGGTTCTGCCCTTGGCAGCTCCTACCTCCTCAATTTCCAAATAACATGTAAGCCTAGTTGAGGAGTTTTGTAATATATTCATGTTTGGCCCAAATATAATATTGTTAGCGTTTGATTCTGGAAAACTCATATGTGATTTAATCCGATGTTTTTTTTTAATTTTTCAACTATCAATGCAAATCCCATTGCCTTATGACAATGTTGGTTTTTTGTTGGTTTATATGTAAAATAATTTGAAAGTGATTATTCGATTATCTCTGTAGATAATTTAACAGTTATCGATTTTTTCTGGAAAAAAATACCAGATCCGAAACTGCCGGTAAAAATGGAATCGTTGCGCTAAAGCTAAATAGTAATCACTATCGAACAATCGACTCTAATCGTCAGCTCTAAAGCGTAAATAATTTTGTTTTAGGAAAATGCCATAGAATCGCTTAAAGAATCACACGAATGACGGAAAGGATGGCCAGCGCAGTGGTGGTGCTGGACAACGGAGCATACACGGCCAAGGTGGGTCTGGCTAGCCAGGATGAGCCACAGGTAGTCCCCAACTGCATCATGAAGGCGAAGAGCGAGCGACGGCGCGCTTTTGTCGGAAATCAGATAGACGAATGTCGGGACACTTCTGCGCTGTTCTACATTCTGGCCTTCCAGCGCGGGTACCTGCTGAACTGGGATACACAGAAAACGGTATGGGACTACATATTCAGCAAGGATGGCATAGGCTGCACGTTGGAGAACCGCAATATCGTAATCACTGAGCCACAGATGAATTTTCAAAGCGTCCAAGAGGCAATGATGGAGATGCTGTTCGAGGAATACCGGGCGGCTGGAGTGTATAAGACCACTGCCGCTGATCTGGCCGCCTTTAACTATGTTGCCGACAGCGAGGAGCGCACCACAATGCAGGCACTGAACTGCATCATCATCGACGTCGGATACAGTTTCACCCATATCGTACCCTTTGTACTGGGACGTCGAGTCCTCGAGGGCATACGTCGTATTGACATGGGAGGTAAGGCGCTAACTAATCATCTCAAGGAGCTGATATCATATCGTCATTTGAACGTGATGGACGAGAGTCATGTCGTGAACCAGATCAAGGAGGATGTCTGTTTTGTGGCGGAAGATTTTAAGCAGGCTATGAGGGTGCATCAGGCCGAGGAGAAGCGTCGAGAACTTTCGCTGGATTATGTTCTCCCGGACTTTACTACTGTGAAACGGGGATATGTTCGTGTGCCGGGCCAGCCGAGGGAGGACGAGGATCAGCAGCAGATGGTGCCGCTCTGCAATGAGCGCTTTACCGTGCCGGAGCTGCTTTTTAATCCTTCTGATATTGGTGTGCAACAGGTCGGCATCCCAGAGGCAGTAGCTGATTGCCTTAAGGCTTGCCCCTGGGAGGCGCATCGCGAACTTCTTCTCAACATCCTTATTGTGGGCGGCAGCTCTCAATTTCCCGGCTTTCTTCCGCGCCTTAAGAGCGACCTACGCGCATTGGTTCCCGATGACCTGGAGGTTTCGCTCGTCTGCCCAGAGGATCCGGTGAGCTACGCCTGGTACGGCGGCAAAGAAGTTGCGACCAGTCCAAACTTCGACGAGTTCGTTTATACGCGTGATGATTACGAGGAGTATGGTTTTCAGGGAATAAATCAGCGATAGTGAAAATAAAGTTTTTAGTATTTTTCGTACACAATAAACTAGGATTGCGATCTTTCATAGAACATTCCTTGTCTATATATTGAACTAGGGCTAAAAGGACAAACTGCCAGCCTGCAGCCAGGAAGCGGGGGTCACTTACCTAGCGCTACAACTAAAATTTAACTATAGAACACAACTTAACATTTAGAATTCGTTTGCGAAGTAAAATTTACAAAGGATGCGGTGCTTTTGCCAACAGAATTGAGATACTAAGTCAGGCCGCATACTGCATTTAACTTGGTTAATTTAGGTCTGCGAGGCGGGTGCCGACGGATCTCCGTCGGTTTACATGCTGAACGATTCTCCGCATCCACAGGTGCCCTTGATGTTTGGATTGTTAAACACGAACTCGCTTGACAGCTTTGATTCCACAAAGTCCATCTCAGTGCCTTGAAAAGGATTAAAAGTTAACTGGGTACCCAATGGTTTAAGTTTCAAGGTTGAACTTACCCAGCAGCGAGAGTTGAGCTTTCTTGTCGATAAACACCTTGACGCCATCCTGGATTACCTCTTCGTCCATCTTGTCTGCTGGCAAATATTAGCAAAAAAAGTCATGCATTAGCTCTCCACTGACGAGTTCCAAGGACTACGGCTTACCTTTTTGACTTGCATAGTCCAACGTGTAAGATAGACCATTGCATCCTCGCTGTCGGACGCCCACCTTCAAGCCAACCTTTTGGCGAATTAACACCAAATTATTAGCCGACTTTGATTAGGGTATAGAATAAGCTCTAAGCCTTTTAAATCTAATTTATAGATCACGGTCACACATTCTTTTGGACTAATAGTTAATAAATTTCGTCAATATTTAATATGATAAGTGGGTGACATTCACTCAAGACTAAGAAGGATAAGTCTATACGCCATAAAGTAATTTTTTTGTGTGAGAAGGTTAAAATATTCAGAAATCTACGTAGATTAAAGAAGACAACATTTTCTTGCTTATTTATAAAGATACACAAAGCTTTAACCGAAATACAGCGGTTATAAAATAAAATGCGATTCTTATTATCATAAAACAACTTCAGATACAACTTCGCAGGGAATTTCCAAACAATTTTTAAAGCACATCCACTAACAATAATACATTTTAAAACCATTTAACAGAACCTCTTTTTTTAAGTTTTCCCAATCAGAATCTTAAGCAAGTAACAAAATCATAAGGTATTGTGGTACTGTGGGCTGCGATCTTAAGATAAGAACCTTAAAAGCCTAGTGACATGTTTACATGTCTGGCCATCCTATCTATTGGTTGTCAGTAGCCACTTACCATGTCCGGCTTGTCCTGTAGCAGGGTCTTGATGCGAAGCACCGCCGCGGGAGTCTGCAAAGGATTTGACGTTAAGAATGTGTTCGTGAGGACTGTTACTTCATCAGCAGCACGCGCCTATTTCATCAGGTTCTAGGATTCTTACCAGGGTCAAAGCGGCCCGCGTCGGGATCAGCTTGCGACCTGTCACCGCCCGCACTGTCGCTGTTGCCACCACACGTGTCGCCATCGCTTCTTGCTCTTTATATAATTTGTTTTTCCTCAACAATTTCCACAAAAAAATTCGAAAATATAAGTGCTATTACCAGATGGTTCTGACACTACTGTCGATAGTATCACGTGAGATGACATTGACTGGAGCTATCGATAGACGGAGTCACCGGTTAGATTCAAAACCGTGACATCGTCTTAAAAAAATTTAACTAAAAGCTAAATTATACAGAACATAGATTCACATTTAAGCAAAGCAAGAACTTGAGCTTCTTAGTCTAGGTATTGATTCATTGCTTGTTTTTTTTATTTTTTATTTTACAACTACTAGAACAAAAGTTCCATCCCTAAGTACAACTGAATTTCACACGGCTTAACAGAATTAAATAATATAAAAACAAATCAAAAATGTCTGTTCTACGACAATTTCATAAAATAAGTGCAAGTACAGCAAAACTCACACTGTATGCAAGTAACCCAAAAACACAAACTAGGGCTTTAAATTATGCACAATTCCAGTTGCAATTGCAATATTCTGCAACCAAAACACAATCAGCTGTTCCAAGAAGCAAAAACAACAGCAACATATACACGTGCATTTGTCGCAGCTTACACTGTACTCAGACGGTGGTAAGTTTGGAAATTCTTTAGTTACTTATTGTATTTCCAAAAACAATCAATTTGAATGGGTTTATACTAGAAAATAATTGATAATTTTCTACAAATTACTAGTTTGTATTGATTTTGTGTGTGTAATATTAATAGAATGTTGAATTTTAAATATACATATAAATATTGTAACTTTCTAACCAACTTAATTAATAAACTACTTCGTTTTTATTTCCTTTTTTTAATTCTAACATTTATTATTGAAGAATGGTTTTCTGTTCGTTTCTATAGGTTCTATATAAAAGGTAAACGTTCTTTGGGAGTTACAAATAACAAACATTATCAGACCAAAAGAAATACATATATGTAATAATTACATTTTTCACACTCAGAAAGATGCTGATAAGACTGTGGCCACCAATAGCGTTCCTCTGGCGAAACTGGAATCCAAGATGCAGTTGATCTACACCTGCAAAGTGTGCAAGACGCGGAACATGAAGACCATTTCGAAGGTGGCCTACCAGCGCGGTGTTGTCATTGTGACCTGCGAAGGCTGCTCCAATCACCATTTGATCGCAGACAATCTCAACTGGTTTACGGATCTGGAGGGCAAGCGCAACATCGAGGAGATTCTGGCCGAGAAGGGCGAGAAGGTGATCCGCCTGACCGATGGCAACTGCGAGTTTCTGCCTAGAAATGATTAAAATTGTATTGTAATCAACTGAATACAAAGGCCACTTTATTGAGCAGCTCCAGAAGCAGGGCCCAAGATTTGGCAGACAGTAGGGTGCGTAGCTGGTGACTGAATTCGCGGCGACAGGGGGATCCGGTTACCAGCATCAGGTGGGTCACATATATAGCCTCGTTCAATGGTACTTGGGCGATAGGAGCCTCGGCGGTCATTTGCATTTCATCCAGGTCAATATATGGCAGGTAACGGCTCCAATGGCCGGTTAAGTAGGCAATCAGGCTACCAGGCAGACGCACATGCTCCAGACATGCCCAGAATCTAACCTTGTTGGCGGACTGAGATACGAATAGATAGATATTGTGCAAAAAAGCCGAACTGGTGGGTGTTTCTCCCTCTGTCAGAATGTCGCAGATCATATGACGCACTAAGTGGCAGTCGGAATGGATTTCACTTTCTCTTAACTCCTGGAAAAGGTTCAGCCATACCTGGAAGCCGACCAGCACTAGAGAGCGTTTCAGAGCGATCTGCATATGCTGAAAGCTGGACAAACGACAAATTCGCTTCACCAGGCGTCGCATTTGGTGAAGATCAGGATTGATAAGATCACTACCGTTCAGTGTGTCGGATTTCCGGATCTCTGACCAGTCCAGATCACGAATTACACTCCAAGCAGGTTGAATCTCAGCAAACGTTCTATGCAATAAATAAAGGATTGGCGCATGCGCTTCTCCTTTTCGTGTATTCACAATATTCCTGCACAGCTCTCTGATGCACTGCTTACGATCTTCGGCGCTGGAGCACCCCTCAAAAAAACTATTGGAATCACAGCGATCGGCCAGGGATTCGCCAAAGCGATCATAGCACTCGAACAGATATATGTGAGCCTTCAGCAGGGATTCAACAACGGTTTGGTTAAGTTCCAGATGACAATGCTGGGAGCGTATCTCCTCCTGACATGCGCGTAGCCATGTGAGTAGCTTGATGCAATGAGATACAACATTCTCGAGCTCAGTGCCGCTGCCTAGAACAGTCAGCTCTTTTCGGATAAACAAATCCATATGCACTACAGCTGTCAAAAAATCGGTGGTACAATCGATAATTCCGATCAATTTATTTCTAAACGGTGATATCGATAGCCTAAAACCGCGATAATATCGAAATATTCAAAATGTATTAATCGATTTTTAATTAAATAATTTAATTTCTACAAATAAATAAATTTTAACCATCCAGCTAAATTTTCTTTAGTCCTGCCCACGTAGTGATTTCTAAAAATGTATTATGATAAATGAGCTTACTCTTACTTTATTCCACATTCTTTAAGTTACATCTGCGGCTCATTTTTCCAAAGGTAAACATAAAATGCATAACATAAGGACTTATCTCTTACATCAAAATACTTTAATCCATTTAATTATTTTTTACCTCCCCATTTATCTTCGGTAAATTCACTTAAGTAAACAAGAAACCAAAGTGTATAATCTGTTTATGTGCATTTGCGTTCTATATACTACGTTTAATCCTTTGCTATTCGGTTTCGTGTTTAGGTAAATAAAAATAGGTCAAATTGTGATTTCTTTTTTCTTTTATATAAATCCTTTCCTTTTAATGAAAATGTGCAAACCGACGAGAATTTCAAAACAATATAGTAGGATGAGTTTCGCAGAGAAATGTTAGTCGAATATGTTGTTTCGCGTTTGTATCAGTATTTTTTCTTTCCTTTTTTTTAGTTTTCATTTGATTTTTTTTTTGTTTTGAAAATTTAAGAAAATATATATTTTATATATATAGGCGCGAAAATTAATAATTAATTCAACATTTTTATATATACTATATAACTATATGTACTGTGTATGCATGCAGTTTCTGTTGCGGCTTTCGCAAACTTGCAGTGACTGTTCTGTTCTATTCTGTTCTGTTCAAATCAATTTTTGCATTTCTCGTCGTTTAGCCGGTGTTATCAGGCGTATTAGGAATAGTGTTGCGTCCATGGGTTCTCGGTTGCTATTTAAGCAAAGCCAAAGCCTTCGGAACACTCATGGATGGCCTTTAACAGGCAGCTTCGTAGTTTGTCATATGACTTGTACATGGGCAGATCCAGTTGGTTGAAGCTGCAATCAAGAAATTCCATTAATTAATAATTAAATTTATAGAACGCAAATGAAATAAATAAATTTTAAAATATCTAATAACTTCCCAAAGTTCTTTACTATATTTTAAAACCTTTACAACTCTTACTCACCAGGTGTGCGCGCAGGGCAATCTATCAGTGGAACGATCGTCCCGATGGATTTGGAACTTTTGAATCCCGTTCATTCCCTCCAGAGAGCTGAAGCCCTGCAGGGGCACTTTCGAAGTGCCGGTGACGAACTGCAAGAACTTCGCGCGGTCCGCTTGGTCAAAGCTTCGCAGTGCACGCCAAAACCATTGAATCTAACAAATGGAAATGTCATGATTTAGAGAGGGATAGCAAGAGGGAAGTCAAGGTCTCACCTGGGCCGATTTGGAGGTGTACTTGTGGTACTCAGTGTTCGCCTTTAGATCTTCAATGTCAATATCCGGCAGGCCGGATATGAGAAGTTCCAGTTCCTGTTCGTTGAATATAGAAATTAAATGCTTTGGAATAATGTCGTAGAAGCCCTCAAGGAATGCGTCCAATCTGGTGTTGGGGGTAGAAGAAATTAGAATCCATGATCTCGAATAAAATATATGTCTGCATTTAAATACTTACTGTTGACGGATGGAGCCACTCATCTTAAGCTGGCACACCAGCTGCACATACTCGAACTTATTTTCCTCGGTCACGGCGGTGTCGCGACCGTTTGGCTTGAGATCACGGATCTGGGTGACACCAAACTCCTGCACCTCAGTGGAGAAGGTCAGCTCGTAACCCAGAGTGGAGATGTCATTCTTCATGAGATAATCGAGTCCTTTATAGAACTCATAGTCCTGCGACTCCATATCCGTGTGTTTCACTTGTTTGCCCAGTATGTGCTTGTAGAAGGATCTGGTGAAGTAGCACTCAAGCAACTTATTGTCGTGCACAGCCTTGGCTGTTGAAAAAAATTAAAGTGATATTTAAACGCTGGTAAATGACAAGAGTCTCTGAATATACTTACCAATTACGCGGCCGACGAACTTAAAGTAGCTCAGGTGATTCGGATTGGCATGACTGGAGGGATTGATCATGTAGGTGACGCGATCGCCAGGCGATACGCAGAACAAGGCATACATCGGATTGAAAATCTCACGTGATATGATCACATACCATTCGCGTAGCAGACCGCCAGCGTCCTGGCCTTCCTCATCTGCAAAGAGAAGTTAGGATAAATATGAATAAAATAATTCTTATAAACTAAGAGTTTATTAAGTCCGAAACTCACCCTCGAAGACGATGTAGAAGCGGTTCTTCCATTCCTCTGGACCCAGACGATACAATACACGGAACGAGTCCTCAAAAACGGTTACGCGACGAACACTAACCGTATGCTCCTCTCGCCGGATACCCTCGTCCAGGCGCTCCAGCTCCGTTTGGAAGTACTTTCGCTTGACATCAAAGTCCAGAATGCGTGTGTGGTCAACTAGCACGGCAAATGGTCCGTCCGAAAGATGAGTTGGAGACTGGCGCAGGATCTGGTTAAGCACAGTACGGTGCTTCTCCGCAAACAGAAGGAACTTCTGGCGGTCCTGCCGCAGCTGCGCCTCGTGTGCGCTGAGCGCTGTATTGGCGGAACTATTAGTCGAAAGCGGCGTGTTTGTGGAGGCATCTAGCATTCGCGGCTCATCTGGTTATAATGAAATTGGTGATTCGATTTTTTGAATAATACATTAAATGTTTCTATTAACCCCAAACTCACCATCAAAGCTAGTCGAACTCAGAGTGTTTGCGCTGCTAGTATCGTCCATCGAAGGACTGTGCTCCTGGGCAGATGATGTGGGTGCTCCTCCTCCGGCGGCTGCTCGCAGTCCAGAGCCCACAACTCCAGCGAGCGTACCGCGTCCCGACTTTTTGGTAGCACCGCGATGGGAGGCATGAATGAGAAAGAAGGCTTCCACAGTGGGCTGTAACACCAAGACGGCGAACTCGTCCTTGGACTCCTCCAGAGCCACCAGGCACTCGCTAAGCGTGTGCCATAGCACGTCCAGACAGAGAATCTGACTCAAAGTGGGCTTGGCTGATTTGCCAGCGCTTGTTGAATGATTGCCGACTCCAGGTGAAGCCCTTGTCTCATCGTCATCTTCTTCGTCCTCATCACCGTCTTGTATGTTCTGGTTGGTTTCCATAGGTGGAGGAGGAGAAATTGTGCTAGCTGATCCAGGAGCCATATCCGAACTACTACCGCCGGACGCTCCACCATCGCCCTCAATATCGATGATGTCATCGTCGTTGTCGCCGGCAGCACCAGAAGTTCCACTGCCTGTGGACAAACCATTTTGCGCCTCATACATATCACGCACCTGCATGAAGATCTTCAGCGTGCGTAGGAAGTATGGCTGAGCAGAGGAGTTGGACATAAGTTTCTTCATTGAAGGCAACTGCAACTCGCAGGTGGGCTTGGCGTTCTTTGGCGCCGAAATGATCACATGTTCCGCGGTAAAGCGATCCTGCATAATGCCCTCATGGACGGCCAAATTAGGTAGCAAACTGGCTCCCGACACTGTAGGTACATATCCGACTGTTGCGCCTGCTGCACCGGAAGTGGAGGCAGCCTGTGAGGTGGTTCTAGCCACGCCGTGGTGAATGTTATACATACGAATCTCATTTAGCAGCATCTGTATCGCTTGACGCACTTCCTCGGCCAATCCCAGTATGGCAGCTGTCAAGTACTGGATGAAAATGGCATTCGATGCCTGCGAACACTGAGTAAGGTTCACAATCAACTTCGCCACGTTGTCTAAGCCCTCGGTGGTTCCGCACTGGTGTGTCAGCACCTCGATAACCAACTGCAGTTGCGAGAAGTTTTTGGAGTAGATCTTGCGACGTGGCTTCGATGGCGCTACTGGCAGTGCCACACTTAAAGTTGGAAGCTGGGTTCGCTTCGCTCCCACATTACTATCACCGGAGGCAGGATTACCGCTGGCTGGAGTCGCCTGCTCCTCAATGTTGGCGGTCAAACTATCACCAATTTCGGATGCATTGACCTGGGTATTTTCTGCTGATGCCGCCGCTGCTCCCGCTGCCTGACCAATGGGAATCAACGTGGGCATTTGATCGCTGAGTGGTAACTGCTCTTCCTCCTTGGGCAACTCAGTGCTGAGTGAGGCAAGCAACTTTACCAGCATATCGGTGAGATGGGGAGATCGGCATATAACCTTGTAGGGCAGCATTTCAAGCAACTGACCAAATGGCGAGTCGCTAAAGGAGAGGAAATCGGCGGTATTCGTTTGCCATTCCCACGCCGGCTGTGAGATAAGCGGAAACTGAGCCACATTGGCTAAACGCACTTGGGTTTGCTGATCGATGTTTAGCACTACATCCCAAAAGTTCTTCGCATTGGTTTGGTACGGCACTGACTGCTGATTAAGGCTTCCACTAGATACTTTGGCAGTAGCAGCTGCTTTGGCTGCCGCCGCCTTCGATGTGGAGGGGGCTTCATCCAAAGGCGTTGATGGTTTTGGTGCAGGATGATCATCGAGTATTCCACGTAAACGGTTCGCAACTTGGTAGCGGCAGAAACGTGAACGGAAGTCTAGAGTTCCACCTGGTGGTCCATCATCGACCCCACGACCTGCCAAACCGCTAGCAGCTCCTCCACTTGCTCCAGATGTAGGCGATGGCATGCCAAATACCGCACTCAATATACGCCTGGCTTTCACCTCGCGATTGTAGGGTACAAAACTGGATGGATAGTGCTTGGCCAGGACAAACAGTAAGTCCAGACAGTTGCGCACTATCATTTGTGCCGCCTGCGGATTGATGCTGATACTCCGCGCACTACCCTCGTACAGTCGATTTATCAGGAATATGTTGCTCTTGTAGCCAAAGGCAGCGTCCACACGCAGTTTTAGCCACTCCGGTTTGCCGCCCGCCTGACCCGCTCCAAAGTTCCCATTGTCCTCGTTGGTTTTCTGTACGATGCTGATCAGAGCACTGATTATCCAGTCACGCGTGGGTTCATGGTGGCACAGATTGCGAATGACGCGATGCAGACGCATGCTGTTTACTTTCTGGTCTTCTACAAACAGGAAGAGCAGGAGTGTGGCTAGCGAATCCGGATCAAGGAGGATGTTTTCATCTTCCATCATTAAAAGGGCGAGTGGTTTGCCCATGGTCGGAGCATGATGTGGGTGCGCATGATGATGTACAATCGTTGTGTGCTGGTGGTGCTGCGGCTGGGCATTGCCACTTGCATCATACCAAATGGAACTGTGCCAGCGTGCCTCCTCCAGGCTCTGCAGCGTTGTCTGGAAACGAGCTATTAAAGTAAAAAAAATTAGTAAAATATTAGGATTAATATATTTTCAAATATAGAATTTACGACCGACTTACATAACGCATTGCTTGGTGGATGGGCGTCCATGCGGGCGCCATTACGAAATTCCCAGTCACGACGAAGGAATTGCGCCTCGGCAGCCAACTCTGGAGGCAAACTGGCTATCTGCGACTCCTCCATATCGGTAAGTATCTAATGTTAAAACGGATACGAACATGTACTTTAAACACATAAGTCATTCATGGAATTCTTAATAATTACCGCTTGGCGTAGATTCTCGGGCAGGTTTTGGAAGAATGCGGCAGTGTCCACCGGATCCTCCGGATTGGCTGTCTGAGCCGCCTGTCGTTGCTGTTCGATGCGCTGTTGCATTAGCACCTCTGACTGGATATTCAGTGGCAGGGCTGCGAGAAATTCGGGGTTGACCTCGACCAGCGAGTCGTGGGCAATCTGAATAGCATTCTGTTGCGCACGCTGTCGAATGCGCTGCATACGGAGATGCTCCTGGATTACCTCTTCTCGCATTTCACTCGGCAGAGCGGCGAGGAAAGAGGGATCTACACCTTCGGGCACCTCTAGATCGCCGAGAGCTGCCCGCACTTCAGGACTCATGTCCGTTATGGTGGCTGTCGTTCCACTCGCTCCTCCAGATGTTGTTCCACCAGCGGCGGAATCTTCTGTTGATGCTGGAGTTTGGGTACTGGTTGTGGGAGCTCCACCGATTTCCGTTTCCACTGGCGTTGGCTCTGCGGGGAGAGCCTGTGAATTCGGAGAAGTAGATTCCCTGCTTTCTGGAATCTGATTAGATTGGTTAGTTTCGTCAGTATTTTCATTGGCTGGCGGTAAAGTTGGTTGGTCCTGCCTAGTTCCAACGCTGACCACAGTACCGGGCCACAGCTCGCCCTCGGTAAGTACCAATGGCGTCGTATCACTGGGCGGTGGCGGCGGAGGTGGTGGTAGCAAAAGTTGATCTTCCTCTGGTTGCGCTTCCTGTTGGGGCATATCCAGTATGTCAGGAAGCACGTCTACATCAACCTCTAGGGAAGGTGGCAAAGCAACAACATCCGGAGCCGTGACGTTTATCTGATCCAGAGCCGCATTGGACATCGGAGTCGGCATTGAAACAAGTGACGAAGCTGGCGCGGACCCGGACGCACTGTTACGGCTGGAAACAGAGCTATGGGCCTGAACAAGACGTTGCAGACGGGCGGGTAAATCGCGATTGGGTCGAGCGTTAATCAGCGCTGACCCCGAAGTTCGCGAGGAATTTGTATGTCCGCTGGACATTTGCAAGCGATTGCGTACAGCCTGGCGATCGGCCAACTGAAAAGAGAGAGAAAGTAAATTTACATCTGTATTTATGTGGAAATCTACGAAAATAATACCTGCAGAAGTAGCATCTCTGCCTCATCAAGACGCGAGTGAGCTCGCGAAGAAGGCAGAATTGGGGCCGGTGGATGGCGATGGTGTATCACTGCCATCTGTGCCAATGAAGAGGAGTTCTGCTGTGACTGTGATTCAGCCCCATCGGCTGTCGAGTTTGAGGTAGCGCCTTGGCTATCCTGCTCGTTGGTCAGGTCAATCTCAGCGTAAATGTTAAAGGGCAGCTGACTATGCTGGCGGAATCCACCGCGTTGACGGGGCGGACGAGTCTGCGCATCCAAGGATACACTACCGCTCATGGACGCTACAAAAGTAACATTGTATAGATAAATTTTTACTTGAATGTTCTGAAAATTACTTACAGGATGTGTAAGGGCTCGTATTTCCTCCAGATGAAGCCGTAGCGTCGCTGGTGGCATTGGCTCCCGTTCCGCTAGTACCGCTGCTTGGAGCAAAGCTTGATGACATCAGTACGGGAATTGAACTGCGTCGGGTGCCCCCTGTCGCAGAGGCTGCCACTGGTGGCACTACCACACTGCTGCTTCCTGAGCCGCCTGTAACGGCATTCGCGAGTATACTGGATGCAAACGAAGCTGTCGATGTTGGCGCGCCTGTGCTCGCTCCCGCCGTTGTGTTGGAGAATGTTGAAACTCCACTAGGTGCTGGTGTCGATGTTGTAAAAATGGTACCAGCCTTTCGGGCAGCTTCATCCTGCTTACGTTGCTGATGCGCTATTTTCAAATCTTTGATAAGATGCGGCAGCAGAAAGTGAGCGGCATATAGGCATGCGTCAGTCTGGCTCTCCATGTCCAAAAGCGTGGCCTCCTCTAGCCACCAGTGGAGAGCTGGGATGGGTGAACAAAAATTAAATTAGCGAATTCAATATAAAAACACTTTAATTACTTACCATCTTGAGTAAACGTCTCCATCTGAGTTTCTTCAGTGGGGTTCTGATGTGTGGGCATGCAAACACAGTACTGCTGGTCCAGATAGAGCAATCGTCGCCGGACTCCATTCGTACAGAGTGTTGCATTCGGATGTTGTCCCGTAGTGCCGGAGTTTGCACCACCCCCACTAACACCGCTTCCGCCAGAGGCTGATCCTCCGGCACTTCCTCCATTGCCGGTCCCCATTGGTTGTTCGTCCAGCAGGTTACTCATGTTCTGACTACTGCCAGAGGCACCACCAGTGCGTTCCAAATGCGACATAATGGGCATTAGAAATGCGCTTACCTCGCTACCATTGGTGTTGCCACCAGCAGCTGCTCCGCTGCCAATGGAACGATCGAGGCCAGAACCACCACTTGCTCCACCCGACAATCCAATAAAACTGTAGTCCGGTGCCATCCACGAGCCAGATGAGGGACGTAGAGCGGCCGAGGCGATTGCTCCGATGCTGGCAGTTGTTCCACTCGTCGACGACCCTCTGCCGGATCCGCCGGCTGATCCAGTGACTCCAGAACCACTTCCATTTCCACCATTGCCGCCATTTACATCAATGTCTAGCGGTTGGGCAATGGAGCTGTTCATTCGCACACGGAAACCAACCGGCGGTGTGGGTATTAGGCCGCTACCTAAACGCTCGTATAGATAGGCCTCTGCATGGGCAGCCGATGGTCCACCAATGGGATCCACATCAGGATCTCCATCGGGATCACCATCAACATCGTCGTCTTCATCGTCCACCTCGTCATCAGGATTGGGACGATTGGCTGAGCCATCGCCAGAGGCGTTAACCGCTGCACTGCGCCTAGGGCGATTGTTAGAAGACACAAGGGCGAGGGCGATGTCAATTTGGTTCTCCAGCTCTGCATCCATGACGCTCTGACCCTCCTCGCGATCCTCGTCGTCATTGTCTTCGTCGTCATCATCGTCGTCGTCCACATCGTCCTCATCTTCGTCATCATCATCGTCGTTGTCCACATCTGCATCGTTCGACGCCGTCTCAGAAGATTCCGGCTCATAAATGTGATCAAAGACCTCAATAAACTGGCGAGGACGCTCCTCGTCCACATCTGTTTCGCTATGCTCATCCACATCCTCATCGGGTGCGTCGTCATCTTCATCTTCGTCCTCCTCATTCCGCTCGTCGTTTTCTGTGGAAGCATCCGAATCTGATTCGGAAGTGCTGACATCGCCCAGAATCGTTGTACTCAAATCACGTGCACCACCAGGAGCTCCAGTGTCCGATGAGGTGGAGGCGCCATCACTACCGCCACCACCGCTGATACCATTGTCATTTACAACACCAGAATTGGTACTGCTACTTCCACCATTGCCAACGCTCACATCCACATCGGGATTTGTTCGCAAACGAGGATCACCGCTAACGGAATTGTTGCCAGAGTTGGTGGTGGCGTTGCTTCCGTTTTGCTGTCCGGTTGTACTTGCTACAGCGGATCCACTGGCGGATCCGGCGCCACCACCACTTCGCGAAGCCAGGCGAAGTCCCTCACTCTGCAGGAAATCGTCCCATAATTGATCGAAGTTAAGTACCGGACGAACCGGTCCACCACTAGTCGAAGATTGACCCGCTGCTGATGATCCAGAGCTTACGTTTACAGGTGGATCGTTGGTATCTCCGCCGTTGCTTCGCTCCTCGACCACGTCGATAACAGCAGCGGTGCCTCCACCTGATCCTGAACCCGACCCACCACCTCCGACACCACCTGTGCCAGGGCCGTCTCCGCCCACTCCTCTTGAGCCCGTAGCAACCGAGTCTTCCGAGTCAACGGCCATCTCGTCTGAGTTGAAGATGAATTCGAAGGCATGACGACGATCCGACAGCACGTTCCGAATTATGTCCCGCAGTACGTGCTCACCACCCATCGCATTGGCGCGCTCCACATTGACAACACTACGTCCTGCCAGACGAGGATATAGTCGCCGGTTAATGATGGTCCCGTAGGTGTTACCAGATCCTGGTCCTGTGCCACTGCCACTGCCTGCAGCGCTACTACCACTTCCAGATCCATTCGATCCAGCTCCGCTACTTCCAAAAAGAAGTCTCTTCGATCCCAGTGTAGTGGTGGAAACACTGAATCTCAGCAGGATCTCCATGGGTCGCAGAATAGCTGCTAGAGTGCTCAGCGTATTGTGATTTGATAGATCCTTGTATTGTGCCACCTTCGTTAAATAGGTCATTACTCCCTGGCGAAGGAGTACACGGTACATATTGTTGCGGTGCAAGTGGACCTTGTCATACAACATGGGTGACTCAATGAGATTAGGGTAAAGACTCATCAGAACCTGCAAACGTGTGTGCTTCTCGGCGGAATCCGGCTGGGCTAAGGCTCTGGCCACCGCTGCGTGCAGCTCCCCGGCAACATGAATCTGGACTCCGGGTTGTTGGTAGCAGTCTGATAGGGAACAGATCAGCACCCGGGTCATTGTGCTGACCTCGGGGACATGATGCCTTTGGGTTATAGGCAGGAAACGATCAAGAAGCACGCCAAGGAAGGTCTGCTGCGGTGCGGAGATCAGTGGACTATCTGCAGGTGTATAAACGTGGGCCAAGAGGACACGCGGCACCAATGACTGGTAGGCTCGAGTTGAATCCGCTAACAGTTTGAGCAGGGTTGCCCTCGAAATAGTGGGTTTTGCGTGGGTATGTCCGCTGGTAGGGATGTGCCAGGTGCAGCAGCAGGGCTCAAACTTTTCTGTCGACTGGGCTTGGCCAGCAGCTGCACCTCCTCCACCACTTGAGGATTGTTTCTTACTGATCGCAGGTGCGGGGGTTTCCTGGAACCGGAAATATAACTAATAAAATAATATTTAGTTATTTATACTTTAAAAACCAAAGATTTTTTGAAGATTTGTTTTTGATAAATATCTTATAAACTAATTGCTCTCTAAGGAATTCGACTTACCTCATCATCGTGACATCCCTGCGCCATTCCTGGGGGCTGATCCGGCTGTAGCAGCTCCGCGGCGCCTTGACCACGATCTGCAGATTCAGTGCCGCCATAATGCCAGCACGGTTGCACTAATCCATGCAGCAGATCCTTTAGTACGGCTACTGATGACTGCACCTGGGGATCGTCCTTGAGTTCATCTTTAGACGTTGGTGGTGGCGTTGGCGTTTGCGAATGCGGCGTGGCACCGCCTGTTGCTGTCGTCGGTGTTTGGCCAAACTTCGACTTGACCATAACTCGTGCATCGTCTGCAAGCGTCGTGCCGTTTGTGTTAATCTGGTACTCGCCCTTGAGCATCTCTTTAGCGGCGGCCACAAAGATCTGTGGATTGCGCGAAACCGCCGATGACACCTGGGTCAGCACGTATATAAGGTCGCGATGACCCACGGGAACGTTACCCGCTGCCCGCATGCCCAGCACTCTTTCCATGGCCTCCTGAAGCACGGGTGGGGCCTCAAGAACGTGGCGCAGGATAATGTTTGCATACGTAGGAAAGCCCATAAAACTGCAAGCCTGCTGGAGGTGCAGGAGCATCCGTACTCCTCCACGTCGGATAAACACTTGGGCGTTATCGTAGTTTCGCGTTAATCTAGCACATAGTCGGAGTAGCGAAAGCTTCGTTTCGTTGAGCATGAGATGCGAAGGCTGCAGTAGGTCTACAATGCTGCCGATAATGCGCCCGCAGTCAAACTTGCTTAAGCCGACCTGCTCCTCGTTGAGTATAATCTTTTGGGTGCGTTTGGGTATGGGTGGTGAGCCTGCGGTATGGGACTTCACCTTAGCGGCAGCTGCAGCGGCTGCATTCTTTAGTCGCGACTTGCTGCGCGTGGTCATAGCGGCTGGCGGGGATCCACTACTGGCTCCGGTTGAGCCCTCATCGTTGGCTCCCTCCTCATTTGAATTTGCTGAGTTCTCCTGCTGCTGGCCATCGCTAAAGTTTATTAGCTGTCGCAAGGAAATTAATTCATCGGAATGCACAGTGCCCGTGCCGTCAGGCGAAGTCCGGACCACGCGATTCATCATATGTTCCACCTTGTGTAGCGCCATTGGATTTTGCACATTGGTGATGGCCTCGCTGAGCTTCAGAGCAGGACAGACGGGTCGATGTGTTCCGGATGCTTCACTCACTTGCGTCATGCAGTTCAGGCTGACGGTACACCGCTGTCTTCCAATGTTGATATGGATCCACCTTTCACCGGCCGCGTATGCATTTCGGATAAGCTCGTTGTTAGCATCCGAATAGGTATTCCACTTGCCCGTGGAAGCGTCATACCAGCGCCACACATCGCTGCTAACTGCTCGCATGTTGGCCTTACGCTGCAGAATATGGCTAATGCTGTCAATCGCATCGATTAGATCCACCAGATTCTGCACCCATCGCGGCACAGTTGCACGCTGCTGACCGGTATTCGTTTCGCTGGATTGTTCCAACATCCACTGGCTCATACAGTCCAGTAACTTCACCAGCGACACCATTGCATCCTGGGCAGTTATCGCCTCCACCAGGGGCCGGTGTAGATCACTGTAGTTTTCCTCGAGCAGCAGCGTCGATGTCTTGAGGCGTACAAACAGGCGAGTGGCCGTCATTCCGGTTAAACATTCCTCTAGGCGCGACGCCTTCGACCCGGTTGTCTTGGCCGGTTCAAACAGCTGTAAGGTAAAGTCCACCCACTGTATGATATTGCGCACAAAGTTGGTAACAAACACCTGTTTGTTCAGGTGATTGTGGCGTCTGTATAGTACAGCTATCAAATCCGCAGCACTATTGACCGTATCCGGTATTGCTTCCATGAACTCGAATGCCCGAGAGATGGCTTCATCGCAAAAGCGATCAAAGATCAATGACGGCATTAGCTTTAGGTGCTTATAATCATAGCTGGACTGCGCCGAAGTGGAGGATTTACTTTGCGTTGATTCGCCATCCGCGGGTAGTTCCATGTCAATGTCCATTGTGGATGCCGATGGTGGTGGCGGCGGAGGTGGAGCAGTGCCGCTTGACAGACCACCAGTCGTCGACATGGTACTTACTTGTGGATTATTAAGCAGGTAATCGGTGGCCTCTTCCAGAGAGGCATTTGTCCTCAAGGCGTCGATGACATGGTAGTGCAAAAATCCCATGTCCGTCAGCGTCTTGATGTGATCCGCATTCAGACCATCGTCCGTGCTCCGGATGTATAAGTTCTCGAACTTAATCTCCTTCATCCTTGTGTGATAGCGATCCAACAGGGTCTGATGTGACTTGATCAGATGCTTCAGAATCACGATCATAGTCTCAAACATGCTTGGTCCATAGTTTGGAATCGGGCGCCGGGCCCAGATTCTGCGCAGTGCTTGCATGGCCAGCTGGTGGATGTGGATTAGATAGAAGACCGGCTCAAATGGAACCGAATCGGGTAGATAATTTAGCCGGGGGCTCATCGTGTATGGAGAGTCCAACATGGCTCGGGGATTCACCATCTTCTCGAGCAGCTGCAGCCACGCGTCAAGGAACTCACCGGTGCCCTCCGGACAATCACGCTTGTCATCCTCATGCGATTGCATCAGATCCTCCATTGAAGCCCACTGATCAAAATCAAACTTCTGGGAGACATTATCCAACGATAAGGCCCAATAGAACATCTCAAAGAATGCCTTTAATCCGTTCTCAGCACAAAACTGCGATATCATCAAATGGAATGCGCTGCGCTTATCGTCGAACAGCATCGGGCCTGTGAATCCCACCGAGCAGATCAGGAAAGTGAGTTTAAGTTTTGGTACAGGCTTAGGCAGTATGCTTTCGTGACTAAATCCATTAACCAATATTGAGCTGAGGATGCGGGCTATTTCGCGCGCCTCTGGCGTAGGAACTTTGTTGATATTACTAATCAAATCGTTGATGCGACGTTGCCGTGTCTGTGGTGATCCCACTGATAGCTTTACCAAGGTGCCTAAAAGCTCAGCGAGAGCCCTTCCCAATCGGGAACTCGCAGCCAATAATGACTTTATGTATCGAAACTGTTCTTCTGGGGTGTACTTTGTCCGGAATTCTGCCGCTCTTTCCAGCTTCCTCGATAGTTCTGCTTCCGTTAGCGGATCCGCGGTACCAGCTGCCGCTGACATTTGGGCTGCAATTTCGTCCCAGATGAGATCCGGATGCTGGGTGGGTTCATCCGAGCAAAGATTCAACAGGATAGTGCTCTCCCACACTAGGGAAATGTAAAGCTGGACGAGTTGCTGCAGTAGTTGGACTCCGGTTTCGCGATTGACACCCCACCGCTTTAGAAGTATACCTCTCATATCACTGGAGGCGTTTCGGCAAAGATGCACCAGCATTACCACGTAGCCGTGCACAAAACTCATGTTGTGCAAGATGGGTGTATATTCGGCGTTGGCAAAGCCATCCTCTAGCCGCTGGCAGCAAACTAGCTCCGCTAGTAAGACACTGCCGCCGGGAAAAGTAAAGTGCTTTATAAGTGGCTTCAGTTGAGCCACAATATCGGCCAGCTGCTTGAGTGCAACATCCAGCACTTTGGTTTCTTGCGCTTGGCTAAGTATCGCCTTGCAAACATTTGCTACCGCTTGTGAAGTAGTGGACACTGGTGAATCCACTGGTAGATTGGGCAGCGATAGCAGCTGAAGGATGGGCCTTAATCCTCCGTGAAGTACAAATTCCCGACAGTGATCGCCATTCGGACTGTTGCTGAATATCGCCTCGATGAACTTCATTACGTTAAGAATATAGTCGATGAGGGGAATGGCTTCTCGTTCCGGAGGCGTCACCACTTTGACAGTTTGCGATGTAGCTGCTTGCGCTCCTGTACCTCCAGCTCCTCCTACACTTCCTGCCTGTTGAGTCCTGGGTGTTGATGCACCTCCACTTTGACCCGGTGTCGTAGGCTGTTGCTGCTGCTGCGAAGCAGAGCTCATTTCATCATCATCGTCGTCGTCATCGCCGCTGCTATCATTTGTATCCGCTGCACCCTGAAGGACTGAAGATGATCCTCCCGAGCCGGCCACCATGACCATGGGCGAGGGTGTTGATGCCACATGATGACCAACGCCGTGACTGCCAGATCCGGATCCAGAGCCACTGCTTTCCTTATTCGCCCGCCAGCAAATGAAACTTGGATCGGAGCCGAGTCGAACCAACTCATTTAGGAGCCTGACAATTGCTTCTGTAGCATCGGCTCGCAAATAGGGATGATGCTTGATTAGATCATCCATGGCATTGCCCAAATTGGTAGCCGTATCGCCGAGCGGATCCGAAGAACGGCGCCGCCGCATGGCTACCAAGTAGTCCGGGGAAAGCAGCACCTTCAGCACCTTGTCGAACGGATCGTAGGAAAGAAACTCAAACAATCCACGCTCATTTAAACATAATGCGGAAAATACGTTGGGCAGGGATCCCAGCACCTCCCGGGTAGCTGGCACATCCTTGTGTAACAGCGCCTTTAGCATAACACTGGTTATACCCAGATCCTGCAGCGAGGAGAGCAGCGATGGTTCGTTGAACACGTACACGGTTACCACATCGGTGGCCAGCAGAAACAACGAAGGTCCATAGTATTCTGCATTCGCAATGATGTGGCGCAGCGACTGTGTTAGACTAGTCTCCATAATGTTTCGCATGTTGCTAAAGTGAGCATGATCTTGAATGCTTTTCTTCAGGAAATTTAGCATCGACTTTAGCAGTGCCGCCCGCTGTGTGACGCAGGACGGTTTCTTCGGCGCCAGGCTGCTCGGCAGCTGCGAAGATAGCTCCGCCTTGCGCTCGGCCAGTGGACGGGCGTAGTAACTATTTGTGGGATACATAATGGCCGACGGACGAATCTCTCGGTTGATTAAACCCATAATCGGTCCGGAATTACTTGATGCCCCTTCTCCGCTGCCGCCTGCCAAGTTGCGTGATCCACCAATATCCAGGAGTCCTGCTCCTAAGCCTTCTACTTCACTATGGTCTATGTAACCTCTGGGCGTCGAGCTCCCGCGGCGCGGCGATCCACTTCCACTGGCCACGGAGGTGTTCTCTCCGGTTCCGTCTAAAATAGAAATGAAAAGTAACCAATAAAAGGGTTATATATAAAGATTTTTGCTTATATTGTAAAAGAAATATTGCAAACAAATTATATTCATTAATAAAAGCCGTGAATCCATAAAACATTTACGACTTTTACAGTTATGATAGATTTAAAAAGCTTGCATGATATTTTCAAAATTAATATAAACTAATAGATATAGATTCACTAACCACCTTCCACATCCTCATCGACTTGGTCCAGCGAGGTATCTAGCTTATGGTCGTCACGCAGAGTCGACTCCTTTAGCGTGATGCCGATGTCAGCCAATGCCTTACAACAGCTCTTGATTTCCTTCTCCAGACGGTCAATGAACACGTTGAGTCCGTTGTTCTGGTGAAAACGGGCGATGTCTATGTTGGTAATCAAATCGATCACCCGCACTGCCCGCGTTACGAATGTAATGTGCTCGAGGTCCACTCCCGGCCAGCTGATGACACAAAGTAGGGATTGCATCATGCCACTTTTAACTAAAGCAGAGCCACCCATTTCGTAGCTGGCCAGATGGTACAGCAGCGAGAAAAGTGAGGTGGCCAGAATGAGCGGGTACCGCTCGGTGAGTCCGTATGTGGTTAGATTATCGATGCAGTCACGAACCAAAAGCGGCAACGTCCCGCCCTGCCGCTCAGCTCCGGTATAATGCACGATCTTCAACAGACGCGACCCGGCCCTGCTGCACAGGAAACATACAAAAAAAAAGTCATATTCGGTGAATCCACAATATAGTCAATAAAGGTACAACTAATCTCTTACCTCGGGACATTTGGATTGCGGTCGAAGTGCAACATCGAGGTAAGTGTGCGCAAAACTGCCGCCCGTATTTCGACAAGATGGACGTCCTCTTTGTCGATTAGCTCGCATAATTCTTCGCCGAAGCCGGCATATAACACCTTGTCCGTGTTGTCCTGCAGGGCATTAGAGTAAATCAAAATGGAGACGGCCTGAAGACGCGCCTGGACGAACTGAAGTCGCAGTTTGTAATTGTTGAAGCCTGAGATCAAGCGCACCCGATGGGCAATGCGCATCTATGGAAAACATCAGTCGTTAAAGATTGGTTATTTTTATAGTCATGCTGGTTGAGAACATACCTTGATTGCCTCACTAGGCTTTGAGATCTGTCCGGCAATCGTCTTGATCACCTCGGGAGCTGATGCCGTGTGGCATAGGTCCATCATGTCCGGGATTTCCAGCTGTGCGGCATGACCGTGCTCGTCCACATAGTCGATACATAGCTGGTAAAGGAATTCCAGCTTTGGCTCGCCAATGCAGCAGTCCTTGAGCGACAGGCCATAGTTGGGATCGCCCCAGCGCTAAAATTAATAGTTCTTATTTTTAAAAATTCTAAAGAAAACCGCAGTTACTTACCTCAGCTATGTTGAAAAGTTTAACGATCAGTAACTCCTTTTTCTCGAACGGCAGGCGGGGTATGAAATTGCTGCGCTTGGAAAACATGTAAAGCAGATTAAGGACGGCCAGGACGATATCCATGTTCTGAGAAGAGAGGAGCACTGTCAAGTGTTCGATGGAGTTGTACAGGTGGCGCGAGAACGAGTGCTCGATCAGCAAAGTGGTGAAGTTAAGTACGTGCAACAGCAGAGTGACATCCTGAGGAAAACACATTTTATTATACATATTTAGAAAAATAATCATTTTTATGGGGTCGATGTCGGTTTAAATTAATACATTTTATTCCTTATCCATTTAAAATCCTAAAATAATATGGAATCGCAGTAAGATGAACTTCTCAAATTGTTTTTTCAAAGATGAATTCCATACAGAAATAAAATTTAAAGCGATAGGAAAAATTTGGAGAAAAAAAAAAGGTATTCGTGAGAAATTTGAAACATTTTTAGAGGTACTACACTGTGAAAACTAACCGTTGTCCTTACCGTTTCCTGAAAGTTGGTGTCGCACTGCAGCACGAACTCGTTGCCATTGACATGACGTGATGCCTCCTCGAGGATCTTGTCGAAGCGGTCCAGAATCTCGATCCAATGGTACAGCTCGCACTTGCCGTAGATCCAGACGTGGACGGTGTCGAGGAACTCAAGGAGTTCGGTTCGCGTTCGCCGCTTGGTTAGCTCATCGATAAGCTCGCGGCATTCGGCCGTCAGCTCCGAGGAGCCCTTCTTTAGCTTCACCGTGTCCACCTTCATCGCGGTAGTTTTTCCTGGAGCTTATGGAGCAGCAGGTGGCTACCACTGGTGGTGGTGGTGCTCCTCCCCTCCCTCCTTCACTTATTTTTTCCGTTGGCTGTGCGTTGAGTGGTTAATTTGTTTGGTGGGTGTTTATGGCGAAAAGTTGTCGATTGTTTATTGGTTGGGCATCGAATTTTGGTTTAAACTTATATGTCAGCGTATTCAAATAACTGTAAAAGTAAAGTTATGGAATAACTATTGTTAGGAAAATAAGTAAGGTATAAATGAAATACATTGACCAAAAAAGCACAGACGTTTGTAAAATTTTGATTGAGAATTTTGACTTTGACGTTTGAATTTTCTTTCCCGCTCACTCCTTCTAACACTCTCGTTCTCTCCTTCTTCGTGCTCTCGCGACTTAACTGCACTTGTCAGCTGAGCCAAGCAAATTGGACACAAATTTCCAACTGGCAACAGCGATACGCAAAAATTAAGAAAAACAAAAGTGACACCAAACAGAGCGCGCGCGCATTAAAAGACCTTTGTTTTTGTGTTTTTGGTTATAAAGAATTAAGGTGTACGACTTAGATTTCCGATTCAATTGTTGTTTTGCACTATTTTCTTTTACAAACACACACATGTCAAACGCAACATGTTTGAGCAAAATGTCAAATGAGCGCCAAGCGCATAAAGGTGCAAGGCGAAAAGAGAGAAAGAGGAGCGGAGAAAGAGAGCGGAAAAGTGAAGTGGAGGAAAGATGCGTAAGTCAAGGTTGGCACAACAACAAAACATGAGACTGCAACAAACTCCTTTTCTCCACATACACACACATACACATAGAAACTACGCGAAAAACACACATTCTTTTATGCCAATTTCCCCTCAATTCACAATAAACAAGTGAAAATGAGAAGTGTTCGTATGTATGCATGTGTCTGCTTCACCGAATTTTCATTATTGCAGCACTAGCAGCCACAACAACAAAAACTTTTTCCTCTATCACGGTTGCATTTTTCCTTTCTTTTAGGGCTGTTTCAAGCAAATATAAACTATTTTTCACACGCGAATTTGTAGCGCAATATAAATTTGAAGAAAAAGTAATTTAGCTGTAATACAACACAAAAAAAGACAACAGGGAAAAGAAATTGCCACAGTCAGAATAGAAACAATGCAGTGGGTGAGAGTTTGTCTGTGTGCGTGTTTGTGCCTGTTTGTGTCGGGTGTGCTAGTACTAACCGTGTGTGTATGTTTGTACGTCCTCGAAATTGCGACTAGCGATACTCACAATTATAAATAAATGCAGCATAACTGCTGCTATTCTTGTTTCGGTTTAAAACGTTCTAATTTGGTTAATTTAACAATCTCGGTTTTTGTGAAATGAAATTTCCACAGACAAGCGTAAACAGTGTGACCAAACACCGCCAAAGCTCCAATCCACGGTAACGATAAATTGCAATCACTCTTTCCTATCGATGGCTATCGATGGGTTCTTGTTTTAACTTTTTGGTAGCAAATAGAAAATTTGTGGAAATACTGTTTGATTTTTTGTGGCAGTCTAATATGAAATGTGACTTATATATCGCCGCCAAGTGACTTTCAAATAATTTAAATTTATATGAATCGATAATGGACATGACTTATAAGAATTAGCTCATTACTCGATATTTTTTAAGTTAATAGGAAAAGTTTTAAAGGATTTAATATATATTGGTCTTATAGTTTAAAAATTGCACTTGATTCAACTTATTTCGCAGAATTGCTTTTGTTTTTATCGTATGTACTTTTGACCGTTTTGGGCCAACACAATTTAGTTTATTTTACAGTCTTGTATAAAAATATCGTTAAATAAGTCTAAATTTTAAATAAGGACAAACGTAAATGTGTAATATTTATAATATTTTATGCTTAGAAATACACCTAATAAATATTTCCTTATTAAATTATTACTTTAACTTATTGATTGCACATGATGAAATATATTTTGCTAAATGCATGTTAAGGTATTTGGAAGTTAAGAACAATTATTATATTTTTTCTTAATATTGCTTAATATATATATTTTTTATGAAGTAATATTTACAATTTCTACTTATACTTCGTTAATCGGAATGAAATTAACTACAAACATTAAACGGCAAACAGGTTGAAGCCTTTTTCCAAAGTTGAGCACAACGACTACAACTATTACACGTTAATACACAAACTAGTTGGCCTAAACCTAGACTTAGGATTATAAAGTATGTTGGAGCTGCGTACTATTGACTTCGGTGCTCTGAAATTGTCCAGTTTCCGCCTCAAATAGTACCTGCTGGATGCGCAGCTTGGCTACGGACCGAGAATAAGAGTCTGTGACGGTGCGCAACTGGGAGGCGATGCTTTGGCCGAATATTACAAGTTCATCCTCGCTGACGGAATCTAGAACCTGATGGTTCCTCGGTGTTCGCTGTGACGGCGTGGCTGGGAGCTGTTGTGGATGCACCTGAGGTTGTGGCTGCTGCTGATCCACTAAACACAGCGACGAATCATCGATGATTAGCTCGGTCTTACTGGCACGCACCATTTCCGGTGCTATGGAAATTATGCAGTTGCTCCCCGGAGCCTTGGTATCGTTGGGAGCACACACTGCCTCGCCATCTGCATCTGGGTCGTCCTCCTCAAGCGCATCCTCGCTCATACTGATATCTGCGGTGGCATTGAAGAGCAATTTGCTCGGGGGCGCCTCTTCCACTTTAACTGGAGATTGTGAAACATTAGGATGCTTGTTCTTAGGCTGCAAATTCCGAAAATTAAATTTATACCAAAAACTAAAATCAAACCAAACCATAACTTACCCTTTTGCAATGAGAGAGGGATACGGAGCGCAGAAAAGAGTCGGCCAACTTGAACCAAAACAATTTGGGCTCGTAGCTCCTGCCTTGCTCCTTTTCTCGCATCCAGATGCGTAACTCCTTGGAGTACACAGTGCGCACGCTTTTGATCTTAAGCTTGATGTCCACCACGGTCAATTGAGGTATCTTTAGGGATCTGATTATCGCTTCGTAGGCTTCCTCCCGAGACACCCGATTTTTGTAAGTGTCCAGTAGCGTATTGTAGAGACACGGCTGGCGTCGGTACGCCTCTAGGAACTCGGTGATCGGGATCTTGGTGCTATCGCTCATTTTCAACATCACCTATTTGTGGCCGATTCGGGCCAATTCTTTGCTCCTATCCAGTCAAAATAAAACTTTAATAAATAAAACAACTTTTGTTTACCCTCGTTTAGTGTGCCCAGATAGTTAGTAGCTTGTATACGATTATGTTTAGTAATGATGTATTGTTTAACATAACGTTTTTAATAATTGCTTTGTAAATTTTAATTTTCATATATATAATTTTTTAAATATTTATATCATATGAATATATATAACATTCTCGAAGACATACAAATCTTTGTTCATTTAAAAGACATAAATACTTTGAATACTTATTTTCTTACCACATTATACTTACTTATTAATATTTAAAAAAAACATCATAACAATTAGATAAATTAAGAAATTGAAAGAACGTATCATTGGCCCCGTTGGAGTGCTTTAAATATCGTTAGTTGTCCCATCCCCAGTGTGCCAGTGTACCCGTTGGTCAAGTGTGACCCTGCTGCACTGCCGACCGAATCCTCTCCCGCTCCGTGCGTTCCACGCAAAACGACATCGCCACCACGTGGAGCCTTTCTCCCGTTCTGTTCCGTTCAGTCGTCTCTCTCTTTTTCTACCGAAAACGGTAACAGGCAGCAGGCACTTTTCAGCAGCTGCTCCGTGCGTGCGTGTGTGTGTGCGATCCGAACCGATCTGTTCCGTTACGTTCCGTTACCGTTGCCGTACCGTTATCCTTCGCGAACTTCGAACTATAGGATAACTGTAACTCCTTCGCGCTACACTTTCCTGACCTTAATTATTTAGCCAAGTCCACGCCAAGGTGAGTAATTGCACGCTGTCATCGTCATCTCACTGTGGAAAATTCAATAATGTGCGCAGCGCAACACACATGCAATTTCCCATTCTGCGAATGCTGACTGTGTGTTGGTGTTTTTTTTCTGTGTGTGCGTGTTGTAACATCAGCCAAGTGTGTGTTTGTAGGAAAGGGGCAGATCGTGTGTTTCAATTTTTATGCGTTTTTCTGTAGTTTCGGTCTCCCGATACAAGGTTTCCTTTGTAACCATGGTGTCCCTGTGAATCATCCATCCATTGAGACATCCCGGTCAGAAGAAGAACAAGAAGTATTGCCCTCGGCAACAGAGAGGAAGAGAGAGAAAGCATGTGTGTGAGTGCGAGGCGTGATGAAGAGGGAGGCCGACAGCGGCACAGTGGAGCGCAGTTAGCACAGTGGAAATTTTTGAGTTTTTGCTGACGCTGTCTAATTTTAAAATTGAGTTCAGATTTTTTGTTGAAACAGTTGGCTACACGCAACCTATGTGTATGCAAGTGCAAGTGTTGGTGAAAGAGGGAGCTAATGGCAGCCGGAAATCTAAATCCAGGTGGCCTTGAACGTGATCCTGGCTCTCTCTTTCATAAACAGTGCTGCCCATAAAATTAAAGGCGGCAAAAGGGCTAGTAACAGTGCTGCCTAAAATGGTGCCAAATTTTTTAGTTTTGCTTTAAATTTGATAAGTAATACATTTATAATACTAATATTTTACATAGAAAAACCAATAAAACTGATTTAATCACTCACTTAAATAACACATCAAAGAAAGCAAATAATGGAACATTCATAAAATATAGATGAACTATCAAATATTTAAGTGTTAAGCAAATAATTTCCAATCGATAGTTAAAACCGAACTATTAAAATGTAAAGAATTTGATAAAGATTGAAGGGCAAAAAAAAAATAGGTGTTTATACAGTTTTTAGAGTTCTTTAATCAGCAAACGCTGTACGTGTTGGCAAAAAAAATCTATTTATGGATGAGTAATTACTTGTATTGCAAATTCAATATTCTGTTATCCAAATAAATCAATAAGTGTTTTAATATATTACCTACCATAACAGCTTAGATCTGCAATATTTAAACGTGCTCAACTCTTGGTTCTTTTGTTTTAATCTTAAAAAGGTAATCGACTGCAAATACAAAAAAAAAACCCGTGTCTGGCTTTCGTAGATAAGGGAACCACAACATTACTTGGAACCCGTTCCGGTTCTAACACCTTGTGGAAATATCTAACCTTTTTTTTTAATGAAATAACTACACGACCTATTCTTTTATATTACGACAATATTTAATTTGTTAGTAAATTTAGTAGTTTGAAAATTATTTTCCATTTATTAGCTTTCGTAGCACTCCTGATTTTTTAGACTTGCTGTCATAACTTGCGACGACTGTTTAAAACATAATATTAACAACCTTTGGCAAAGAAAGATTGAAATAAAATCTTCGAAAGAGAACAAAATACCAGTAAAGTAATACTAACCTGATTTGATTCACATTTTCAGCCAGAATAATGTCGTCCGCCGCGAAGAAACGCGACGCGCAAAAGAAGAAGGATGCGCGCAACAAGAAGATCCAGCAAATACCCTCTACGAAGAAGGCCAATGGTGTTCCGGAACGTGAACTGACTGAGGAGGAGAAGCTGTGCGCTAAGCTAGAGGAGGAGGCCCGGATCAGTGCGGAGGCCCGATCCTGCACCGGATCGCTGGCGGTGCATCCGCGTTCCCGCGACGTCAAGATCGCTAACTTTTCGATCACGTTCTTTGGCTCCGAGCTGCTGCAGGACACCATGCTGGAGTTAAATTGCGGACGCCGCTATGGTCTGATTGGTCTAAATGGATGTGGTAAATCCTCGCTGCTGGCTGTTCTCGGCGGCAGGGAGGTACCGGTACCTCCGCACATCGATATCTTCCATTTGACGCGCGAAATTCCGGCCAGCTCGAAAAGTGCGCTGCAGTGCGTTATGGAGGTGGATGAGGAGCGCATCAAGCTGGAGAAACTTGCTGAAGAGCTGGCCATGAGCGATGAGGACGATGCTCAGGAGCAGCTGATCGACATTTATGAGCGACTGGACGACATGTCAGCCGATCTGGCAGAGGTCAAGGCGGCCCGCATCCTTCACGGTCTCGGTTTCGACAAGGCCATGCAACAGAAACAGGCCAAGGACTTCTCTGGTGAGTAGTTCTCTTTTTACCCCAAGGAATGTCTTAACTAATCCATATCCTAACCTACCCCTTCAGGTGGTTGGCGTATGCGTATCGCGTTGGCCCGCGCCCTGTTTGTCAAGCCCCATCTGCTGTTGTTGGACGAACCGACGAATCACTTGGATCTGGACGCTTGCGTGTGGCTGGAGGAGGAGCTAAAGACATACAAGCGAATCCTGGTACTCATCTCGCATTCGCAGGATTTCCTCAACGGTGTATGTACGAACATCATCCACCTGACGAGCAAGCGGCTCAAGTACTACACTGGAAACTATGAGGCTTTTGTTCGCACACGCATGGAACTGCTGGAGAACCAGATGAAGCAGTACAACTGGGAGCAGGATCAGATTTCGCACATGAAGAACTACATTGCCCGCTTCGGTCACGGTTCCGCGAAGTTGGCGAGACAGGCGCAGTCTAAGGAAAAGACGTTGGCCAAGATGGTCGCCCAGGGTCTTACTGAAAAGGTATCTGATGACAAGGTGCTCAACTTCTACTTCCCATCTTGCGGAAAGGTGCCGCCACCCGTGATTATGGTTCAGGTATGTAATTCTGGTTAATTTACTAAGCATAAACTTTAACTTTTATATCTGCTTGGCCGTAGAATGTGAATTTCCGATACAACGATGAAACACCGTGGATCTACAAGAATCTGGAGTTCGGTATTGATCTAGACACACGTCTTGCTTTGGTAGGTCCCAATGGAGCCGGCAAGTCCACGCTGTTAAAGCTGCTGTATGGTGATCTGGTGCCCACCTCTGGCATGATCCGTAAGAACTCCCATCTGCGCATTGCTCGCTACCACCAGCATTTGCATGAGCTGCTAGACTTGGATGCCAGTCCGCTGGAGTACATGATGCGCGCTTTCCCCGATGTCAAGGAGAAGGAGGAGATGCGAAAGATTATTGGTCGCTATGGCCTTACCGGTCGCCAACAGGTCTGTCCGATACGCCAGCTGTCCGATGGTCAGCGGTGTCGCGTGGTATTCGCTTGGCTGGCCTGGCAGGTGCCGCACCTTCTCCTCCTTGACGAACCTACCAATCACTTGGACATGGAGACCATCGACGCGCTCGCGGATGCGATTAACGATTTCGATGGCGGCATGGTGCTAGTTAGTCACGATTTCCGTCTGATCAATCAGGTAAGTAATCAACAATTATTCATATCATTCTCTTCAAGGAAAACATACATACTCACGATTTGTTTAATAATTTTTCATTTCTTCCAGGTGGCTGAGGAGATTTGGGTGTGTGAGAAAGAGACGGTAACCAAGTGGAAGGGCGGCATCCTGGACTATAAGGACCATCTCAAGAACAAGATCACCTCCGAGAACGAGAAGAAGGCTAAGGCGGGAAAGTAGATCATATCCGTTAGATACACAATATCTAGTGGATAGATGCCAACGCCAACACACCTGCACATACACACAGTCGCGCACCCACAACACTCAACAAACACACACCCCCACCCACAGTGACATTCAGACCACACTATCCATTCTCTTCAATAGGCGGCGGGTGATATCCGGATATTGGGCTGCCCGTTCGCTAGATATACAATTCTGTGCGAAATTATCCTTCGGTTTACACTACGTTATAGTCAAGTCATGTAAACAGCATTTCGATCGGCAAACTTAAGTCAACAATAAAACTCAAAACACCCAAATCCAACCACAAGTATACATAACTCACATAAGAACAACAATCACTGTTGATAACTCAACAAGAATACACAAATTTTAGCTGAATTTTTATGATTTTATGTGTCGAATTAAACTAAATAAAATTATAAATATACATATATAAATATGAAGTGGACGACAACAACAAACAAACAAACAAACCAGGAACTACAACATATAAATATAAATCAACTACAACCAACTACAAAACTGCTTGTGATCTTGCGCTTATATAATTTCGTTAAATTCTTCGCTAGGTTTCATATAAACATATATATAAAAATATATTTTATTTTTTGTAATTTATTTACGCCTTAACTATATATTTACATATTAAACAATTAAAACAACAATAACAACAACAACAGAAAAAAAAACCAATGTAATTAAAGTTCTGATTAAGCGAGTCGAACCAAAATGTGTGAGAAACGATTGTTAACTGCCCTCCCAAATCCGTACCGTGATTTTGTTGCCCGCGGATTCGATAAAGACAGCGTGTGCTTAGCGATTCAATATTCGATTTAAATTAAAGTAAATAACAAAACGAAACAACAAAAACCAAAACAGGCATAGAAAGGATTAATGGGTATTACATGAAACGTACATATATATATATATATATGAAAATTTACAAATCACATAAGCAGATATTATAGGTTATTTAACAAATTGGAATTGTAAACTCCAGCAAAAAAAATATATACGTTTTGTATGGCAAAAAAAAAAAAAAAAAAAAACGAAACATATACAATGCGATATAGAATTTTAAACGATTTAAATGCTGAATATCAGTTGTGGCAGCCGAAATTTGTCGTATTAATTAGCTAACTTAATTGAGAAATTGCTAAGATCAAAACAGAAGTTGCTTGACAAGGTAAATAAACAAATTAAATGACCAAAATAATGCAAAATTTTTTCTCCTTTATTAGTGATTATCTGAAGGTGTTGGGAAAAAAGGAAAAGATTCTTGGCTACCATAAAAAGTAAATAAATCAGATCCTTCACGGGAAAAAACATGAAAGTAGACAATTTTTAGTCATCTCAATCTCCATTCGCATTCTATTATTTATTGTACAAATCTCAAATGGTTTTGTTTAAATGTTACATTACATATCATTGCGTTTCGCACCGTCTCGTTTATTGCTGCATTCACCTGGTCTTTCGTTTATTAAAGTTTTTAATGCGTGTAGGCACGTTCAAAGGTTAGTTGGTAGACTTGGTTACACTTAAGCGATAGTTACATGTGCTATTCAGTGGTAATGATCCAGTAGTATATAATGTACAGTACGATCTTATGTCTAGATTCTAGTAGCTTCTGGACAAGTTGGCATGCATAACCGTAAGAAGCTGCCTTTCCACGCCACTCAGGGCTCCAAATTCCGCTCCGAAGTCGCGAAGCAGGTGCTTTAGATCGCACATATTGCGCTCCACCCAGGCACACGTTATCTCCGCTAGAGCATACTGCTGTTGCTCCGGTACAAATGCACCCGGACGCTCCACTGATCCGCCATCGTCCGCCGAGCAAGGATACGCCTCGAATTGGGCTAGATTATAGTAGTACTCGATCAGCTTGATGTGGGCAGGAGACTGGCGTGCAGGCGGCAGATTTAAATGGACGAGGAGCAGCAGACGTAATACCTCTACGCGTCTTAATAATTCTCCGTACATGCGAGCACCGCGCCTTTCGTAGACATTGTCCACAATGTCATCATAGTGCTGCAGTGCACTCCGGAAGTCGCCGCGCTGCCCACACGTCTCGGCGCTGATTTCTAGGTCATGAATCTGATGCGTGGGCGAAGCGAAGCTGCTGGTGCTGTCCAACTGGCGTTGCAACTGTTTTAGCTCTCGTAAAATAGCTGCCTTGAAGACGCATCCGTCCACCGCTCGTTCAGCGGCACGATGATAGCAGTGGAGCGCCCCCTCTCGGAAACCCGAGCTCCGGGTGCGCAGGTGCAGCTGTCCAGATTCATTGTGTGCTCCCAGGAAGGATCTTGCTGCTCTCAGGTAGGCCTCCGATTCACGTTGAGGAGATCCGCCATAGGATTCGCACTTGGCGTAGCCTATGTGGCACATGGCCGCATACTGAAGGATGCCCGACTCCTCGAAGCTGTAGGCCAGTCGTTGGAAGTCCGCCTGCACATCTACCACGCTGGGTGCAAAGCGTCTGAGGATCACAAACAATCACAAATAATTTAATCAATAAAAACATATTGAAATATCTTTTTTTTGGCTTTTAATTTGTTTCTAAATATGTATGTATGTATATCCAACTGTGTACAAAGGTTTAGTCCAAGGATACCACTTACTTGAAGAAGCCGGACCGCTCGAACTTCTTAATCTTGCTGGAGGCCCTTAGATATTGCTCGATCAGGTTTTTAGGATACTGTTCCAGTTGCTGGTGCTCCGGTCCCGGAGTCGTTGATCCCACGACACTGGAGGATCCACTGCCGCCACCGACCAGGCTGCCGCCTCGGAGTTTGTCCATGCTACAGCATGTGGGTCACCGCGTAGCTTCCGTCGGATCGCGTTAATTGTGCATTATTTTCGGCTACTTTTTATTATTATTATTATGATTTGTGTAAAGTCGTCATGGGCGGTGTGACCATGCCATGGAAATCTATGGAATATAATAGTTTTTAAAGTATGTACCATATACACTGAGGCAACCATACTGTATATTTTAGTATTTTCTGCGACCTTCTTTGGTATTTCATAAAAGTCACGCTGCGGCCACACCAGATACAGCAAAATTCGTTTGTTCGGTTTTTTTTGCAGAGCTTTTGGCATTTAATTAGGTAAAAACAAACCGATCGGGAAGTAAAAGTTAAAAACTAAAAGATAACAGCACCATCACAAAATGGCAATCGCCGAGCACGATAACGTTTTCATCTTCGTACCAAATTTGATCGGTGAGTCTTGTTTTCTATACGCGTTCCAGTGGGCTGAGGTAAGGTAAACAAATCGCATGTTCGATTTATGCGGCGCAGTTATAGCGTTTCGGGTGTTCTCTAATTGGATTATTGAGTGCTGCTTGGCAACCTGTGAAATGCAAGGCGGTTCAACGATAAGTGAAGTGTCCACCCCACTGAGTCACACAATCCGATGTTTCCCCCCAAATATATTTGAAGTATATATATCGCCGCTCATATCTTGATATTTTCCAGGCTATGCCCGCATCGTTCTGGCTTTGATCGCGTTCTGGTTTATGTCCACCAACTATGTGATCTCCGGCTGGTGTTATGTAACCTCCGCCCTGTTGGACGCCGTCGATGGACACGCCGCCCGGGCCTTCAACCAAAGTAAGCAACATACACGATCCTCTCCCCTTTAAAATCTAAATTAGCTATAGCTATTGCCGTATCTGTATCTGATTTGTGCGCGCACTTTGGCCGCAGCACACACCGCAAGCACCTGTTTCCATAATGGTTATCTGCCGATATTTTGCCAATAAAAGCACGCCCAAAAATCCCGATATGGTCACGGCTGGATAACCAATCGATGGATGACGTAGGGCCAGAAATATGGACAGAGAGATGGGCAATATTATGCCTTAGAATTATGGAATATACAAAACAATATAGAAAGATCGTTTAAAGAAATCGATTCTAATGGATTCATTTTTAAAACCGAGATAGACCGCTAAAAGCTATCTGCATTAATAGGGAATATTCCTATGGGTATATTGATAGTCCTTTAACAAAGATAGTGGTTAGAATTGAGAAGGAACTTTGTACAATGTTAGTTAAATGAAAGTATATTGTACAATTATTATACGTTTGGACCTTGCTATTTCTGGACTTAATGATTACTAAATTACCATCTTTTCCATCCTACAGGCACTCGCTTTGGAGCAATGCTGGACCAGTTGACCGACCGTTGTGGCACCACTGGTCTGCTAGTCACCCTGGCCTATTTCTACCCCCGGTATATGTTCTGGTTCCAGTTGTCTATCGCCATCGATGTCGCCTGTCACTGGCTCTTCATGCAGACGTAAATGGGACACGTCGTCTGAACTGTTAGGGACAACAATTTAATGACGTATTCCTTTGTTTTTTACAGGAGCGTTGTGGTTGGACGCAGCTCGCACAAGGTTAATGAAAACTTTGTGATGCGCCTGTACTACCAGAAGGACATTCTTACATTTATGTGCTGCGTCAATGAGCTGTTCTATGTGTGCTTGTACCTCTTGCATTTCACCTACGGACCGCTGAGTGAGTACACTAGTACAGTGTTATTTGAACTGGTATTACTAATCTAATCAATGCTTACCAACGAATTGCAGTATTTGGCGCATCGCTCTTCAAAATACTCGCCTTCCTCACGGGTCCCTTTGCCGTACTCAAGGCCCTGATCTCGGTAATGCACGCCTACGTGGCGGGCATTGATTTGGCAGCCGTGGATGTGCGTGAGCGCCAGGAAAAGCGTCAGAAATCCGAACCGGTAGCTGGCAAGAAACTGGAGTAAATCGTCGGGTTAAGTCCAAAATCTTCCAACGCCAGTTCAACCAACTAAAAGTACTAAAAGCGAAAAACTCTTGATTCCAAGCTAAACAACAAAACTTTGAAAGCGATCAGATGAAATATTATTATGGGCATTAGGCAACCAACTAGGCCGTAGTAGAATTTAAATTATTTTTATGCGCTATTGCACTATTGTTGACTTTATTTTATATTTTAAGTTAGACGGGTGGCGAAATCATCCGACAATTTGTATTTAAATGATTTTTAAATTGAAATTGAAGTTCAAGCGATTCGTTTCAGCTAGCAGCAAGCAGCATATTTATATTGCCTTTACTTAAAATTAATTAAACATTTCTGTATCTTAAATATATGTAATGTATATATATACATATATCGGGTCTAAGTGTCACAGGGGCATATGTATATATATAGCCTCAAAAATTGTAAATTACGTTTAATTAAGAGCAAAACAAATATGCAACAGTTTCTGACTAACCGAATCGCTTTAATTTTATATATATATATTTATATATAAAACATATATGCAGGCCGATATATGAATTAGTGTCTATTTCCAGGATTTATCTCATTGTGTACGTTTTCGGTTCGACTAACGACCTCCCCCTAGCAACTCTCTCAATGTAACTAATGTATTTCTAATTGTAAGTTAAAAGAATGTAATTGGAGACCTGCAAGAAATATACGAAACATGAATGTTAGTTGTATTCAAAAGATATACTCCTATAAATGCCAGGCCTGGCAGTCTTAGTCAAAAATCTTGATGAAAAGTAGGAATAAATATACGTGGTTTTATGTGCTAAATTCTTGTGGTTTTCTTTGGCCTGTCAATTTGAAAATTGCGCCAACTCAAATTTATCGCTTTTATTGTGAGTATTTTGCGTATGGTAGCCCTCGTTCAAAGCTCAGCTGTGCTTTAGATCAGCCCTGATTTTTACACAACATAAACATTCGATTGGAGGAGCACATTCCTCTTCCGGAGTTTAGTGACAGGATCAGGAGTCGGGAAATGCTTTGATAACGGGCGGATGTGGATCAGCCAACGCCGGAATCGCCACCATGAAGATCCTTTCCCGTTTGGGCACCCTGATGCGGTACACGGTGGCATATGCGGCCATTACGCACTGCGCCGCCGAGTACATTGGCGATTTCGTTGTGGTAAGCCACCAGGGTTAAGGTTTGGGGTGATACGTGGACTGTGCTGGTGCTTTTTAAGAAATCTATAGACTTTTTTTTTACGAAAACACATCAGCCTTGCACACCTATATCCGTTGCTGGTCCAAGTTACTAATCTCGTTTCATTGCTTCAGTGCAAAGGACCCTCCATGGAGCCCACTCTTTACTCGAACAACGTCCTGCTTACCGAACGTCTGTCGAAGTACTGGCGGAGCTATCAGCCGGGTGATATAGTTATTGCTGTGTCGCCCATCAACGCCAGCCAGTTTATTTGCAAGCGAATCGTGGCCGTGTCCGGTGACCAGGTGCTAATCGAAAAACCTAGTCCTATTGAGGCGGAGTACAGTGGCGCCAAGACCAAGAAACCTGTGATGACCAAGGACTACGTGCCTCGCGGATACATTTGGATTGAGGGCGACAACAAGGGCAATAGCTCAGATTCTCGCTACTACGGACCTATACCTGTCGGTCTCGTCCGGAGTCGCGTGCTCTGCCGAATCTGGCCTATATCCGAAGTCACCGGGCTATAGATTGGCAACCCGAAAATGTTTTATATTAATGAGAATCGCTTGAATGGACTGTTTATTTAAATATTAAATCCTAGTAGATTTATCGATTGTTTTATTTTTATTTCCTATGAGGTTTTCGTTTCAGTTTTAAATTTTGAAATATCATTTCAAAAAAACTAGAAAACGATTATAAAAACTGCCAAAAACATATTTATTTATACATTTGTGTAAATACACTTAATCCAATTTTGAAATCGATGGTAAATGAATTAACATTTACTTTATTCTGTGTATAGTAAAGTTTTAAGAACTTTGGTAATGGACAATTTGAAGATACTTTCAAAAATTGTTGATAATATATGCTAATAAAATATAAAAAGACATTCTTATTCATCAAATTTTAAAGGAAAATCTTAAGATTTATTTGTACCTTAGGGAAAGAGTTATATTTTATATTGTCTTTGACTGATCATCAAATATATATCAAATATACTTAAGCAATCTTGATAAAATCATTTAATAGGTTGTTCATTTCAAGCTTATTTTCAAATTTTGTTCATTTGATAGTCTGCAACTCTGTAGAAATCTAGCGATTTTCATTGAAAATGTTTAAAACAAATTGAAAAAGACAAAACAAAATCTTAACGACTATCCTTTTAAAGCGAATGTTTCTTTATCTCTTTTAAATGACTCAAAATTTAATTTTTAATTTTTTTTCGATTAAATATAGATTTTTAAAGTTACTTATTGATTTTATGATCACATTAAGTTTGACGTGACAATAAAAAAATATGTTCTCAAAAAATAATCATTTAAAGCCTATACTAACTATATTCTATATATTGTCACCTTTACAGCAATATCCGAGTGTGGACAAGTTTATAAATAGCTACTACTTTGTACTAATTTCAGTTTCCTAATAGCTAATTTTAAAATATTTCTAATAATATCGGCTTACCCTTAAAAAAATATTACCATATTTTGGGCGTGTTGAAAAAGTGTGTGATTTTTGATTACACAATGTATTTAACTATATTATGAACATTTCAATATGCACTTGTGCTCATCCTGGCTTGGAAATACAAAAAAAAACTTAATAGAAATTGCACTAAGGATTTGGCCACTGAACCTTCAAGTCTCACAAATTACTTTGATCCTGCTTTTGTTCTTGCTCACGCTCCACGTAATACAAGTTATACTTCTTCTTAAGCACTTGGTGGACATCGTCGCGACAGGTGAGGGTCAAGCCACGCTTTTGGTAGTCCAAGAACGTGCAAACGAACTGCCTGTTCGTCTCGTGCACCTGCGGATGCTGCAGATACTCCGCGATGGGCATCCACTGGAGTCGTGCTATCTCCCGCTCACATCGTTTAAAATCCAAATTAAGGGGCTTCAGGGCGATGACCACGTATAGATCGGAGCAACCGAAGGTACCACCATGGGCATGTCGCAGAGTGACTACCGACCGAAACTCTGTGCGGATTCCTGTCTCCTCTACCACTTCACGTATCGCCGCATCGATGAGATTCTCCCGCGGCTCCACATAACCACCGGGTAGCTTCCAGCTATTGGGTATCATTGCAAACCGATCGGACACTACCAGAACCTCGTTCTTATCATTGATCACTAGCCCGCCGACGCCCATCAGTGTATGTGCGAAATTGGGCAGATTATTGGACTCGTCTTCCGGTAGCCAGCGGTACATGACCACCACTCCGGTCTTTGCGTGATGGAAATCGAAGCCATTCTCCGCCAGAATTGGCACCCAATCGGCCTGCTCCTTGTACACACGGAACCAAATAGCTCGGTTCTTGTTTGTTGTCCAAAAGTCAAGGGATTCTGGAAAGTATTAGACAGAAAACAAGGTGAGAATATCAAAATAATAATAGATTACAGAACTTTTCCATTTTTGCTTGTTTTGTGTTTGTTGGTTTTTTATTTTTTAAGCTGATAAAAATAGAAAATCACGATGGATTATACTGGTTGGCAAAAATTTAATTTAGTATAGTTCTAATTTTAGATTGATAAGGTTTTAATTAATTTTTGATAGCAAACAATTTTTGAAGATAAAGTTGTAAGAAAGTCATTTGTAAGTTAATTATGTTTATAAAATTAATGAAGTTGGAAAAGTTTATATAAAATATAAACTTACTTTTAAGTTTTTCCCGGAAATTGTCCACTTTCTCTTCACGTCCATCAACTGTGACTCCGGCAAAGCGATCGGTAATTCCTTGGAATACATCTGTCGGTGTGTCCATGACTTTGGAGCTATATGGCGTAACAATTATAAGTTAAAAAAAACAACGTAAGCTGGGATAAATATGATCACTTACGCTGGGTATGCTCGGGTGAATGGCCGCAGTGGCTGATGTTGCTCCAGAACGTTTTGTTGGATTTTAAGAGCTGCCGTGGATGAAGGGCGGTTTCTAGCGGTCCGGAGAAGCGTCCTCCATGTATTAAGCACCGGCAGGTTTGGAATGTTTCTGCGAGCCAGAAGCCCTGTGGCCAACATTAAATAATCTCGCTATTTAACAGAAACGACGACGACGGTTGTCGACAACGTTGGCGTCACAAGCTCGGTACCGTAGATCTGGTGGCACCGCAGTGGGCGTGGCGGCGTTTATAACGTCTCACTATATCCAGAATTTGAGGCGAAGTCAATTCCTGGGCATGCTGTGTGTGAAACGAAGCAAAACGGACAGGTGAAAAAGCAGCATGGCTCCATACATCGATGCAAATCCGATGCAAAGCTAAGGAAGGTGGAGGAGCAGGTAACCGCTATCTCTCGCCGGCGCAAGATAAGCGATATGGCTGTTGTTACGTTTGGATTTCTGTTCTTGACATTTCGAATTTGGCGCTATAACGTCAATATCAAAAACACGCGATTGAGATGAGCAAAAAAGGTTACATGATTTAAATTTTTTAAAAAAATCAAACAACATTAAATGTAATAAATAATAGATATAGATTCGAACCACAAACTTTCAAAGGTTTATGTTTTTTTAAGACGGATATAAATAGATTATATTATATTTATGTAAATATATATCTCATATATAATTTAAGAATTTCAAACTAGGTTTACTTCGAAAAGCGTGGATTATGTTAAGTCTCTGGGGTTTTCGGTTTGATTTCAAACCAACTGACAGTTTGTTTTTAAACAGTTTCATGAAACTGTTCCTTGTCACGATAACGATCACGATAACAGTCACAGTTTCTTGATCATCTCTAGCGCAACCTTGAGCGGCAACCCAAGGTGCGTGTGGGTGGCGGGTAGTCGGTTGTGCTGTGGGGTCGTTTCAATTGTTTCCGCATGGGTTTTGTGTATGTTTATCAGCTGAGTGTCTGCTGTTATCAACGCGCCAGACAATTTATACGCGCTTTACATAACAAACAACGCCAAACATCTACATATTTTCTTTACTTAATATCTGGGATAGATTAGAAGATTGTTGAAACTCACTAGGAAACCCACTGGTTATTGGTGTCACTAAGCTAATCCGACCAGTTGCAGACGACTAATTAAACGATCTAACAGCCATGGACTTTGGCATAAACAAGCGAATTAAACAGCGCGCGATTTCAATTTGCTTCTACTTCCACCAACACGTTAATTTCTAGGGATGGGACACAAAAGTCAATCAGCTGTTTCGCCAGTGCTGACAGATTGGCTTTTATTGTGACAAAATGGCTAATTTAGCTAGTTTCTAAGCTTAAACAACCGTTATAAAAATTTAGCTATTGCACCCAAGCCAATACAGAAACATAGATTTTCGCAGTACTCTACAAGGTGTTATATGTATTTTGTTTTTATTGCCTAAAATGGGCTAAGCTTAAAAATTTTTCTACAAGCAATGGAATGCTATATTTAGAACCAGTTCTAAAACGTAAGTTTTTCAATTTCAGTTGATTTAATTGCATGTTCATTTTTAAAATGCCCTATATACCAATTCATAAAAAGTCAATGCAACTACAGACGCACTTTATTTAACTTGGCGTTTTTAAAAGGATACTGCCAGGGGATTCGAAAGTTTTCTAAGAACGGAACGAATCATTTTACCTCGGATCGGGTGTCCCTGGTCGTGGCTCCTCCTCGACCTCGCTCCTCGTAGACCCCGGCATCTTATTTCGATACCTTTCACGATTTTCCTCCTCACTCCCAACCCATTCGTCCAACAACCAGTAGTCGTCCATGGCTTCGCGGGCAGAGATCCGACGGCTTGGATCTGTATCCAACATTGGCTTCAAAAAGGCTACAAAGTCCCTGGCTTCCTGGATGTCCCATCCGTATTGATCAACCAGGATAGGGACCAATTTTCGGGATTTCAAATGGGTAATATTGCGTAGCTGGCCATGTTCGGTAAAGATATCCGAAGAATAATCACCATTTTCGACAAGACCCCTGGGTATGGGACCACATGTCTCGATGATTCTGGCCAAATGTGCCTCATCCAGACTGGCGCTGCCACGATTAGACTGGGGATCGAATAAATAAGTTCCAGTGGCTAGTTCCCAAAAAAGGCAGGCCGCGCTCCAGATATCTGCGGTCTCATTATATCCCGCGCCAAGAATCACCTCTACGGAACGGTACTCTCGGGTCTGTATATCGTCGGTATAATGATGATCGAACCAACAGCCATTACCCATATCAGCTATTTTCACATTCAGCCTACAGTACTCGTTGGCTGGGTCCAAAGGGTAAAGATTGAAAACGGGTCCCCTACTTTTGAATTTACTATCCGGGCTTTTATTCTAAAAGAAAAAAGGTCAACTATAATACTTTTATGGATTAAATGAAAAATGTAACTCTGGAATTTCAAATATCCAAATTTAGATTATATATTTAGTTCCGAAATCTGCCACTAAAACCAATTCCAACCAAAATCCAATACAAACCTAATTGGAATCTGGTTGGTATTATTTTTCATTGCATATTTATAGTTATTATTATTATCCATACCGGTTTTGATCCCGGCTTCTTCTTCTGGTGTTGGTGACCATGACCATGGCCATGGCTATGACCATTTAAGGACTTCCGCTGATTCCTGCTCAGACTATGGGATGCTTCATGTATCGCGCGATCCGATATAATGACCTGTCTCAGTACATAGCGCATAAATTGCAACGGACTTTTGAGCAGGAGCGTTAGAGGATCCAAGTTCTCTTCTAGTATCTGTTCTATGGTCTTATCCTTGACATTCACTTTGCGCTGTCTTTTTGCTTGCCCCTCGGGACTGTCGTCGTTAAGATGTACAGCGAGCATATCGCCAACTCTTTCGACCTTGGCCATATTCTGTAGTTTGGCCAAATCGGTTTCTTTGAGGATCACCAGACCATCAAAGTTAAAGGTCATAAACGGCAGCATGTCGGTGACGCCCAATGCGGCGGTTATTGGTGAAAGGCGGTCATTTAACGCCATCCCCAGCAGATCCAAGGTGCCTTGTCGGCGAAGCCACCGGCGGTGATTCTCGAAAAAGGAGATCACTTTCTTCGACCGGGCCCTCATTCTCCTCTTGGCCGTCTTGGTCATCTTCATATCATAGGGATTGGAACTGGCTTCCCTACGCCTGTCACTCAGATTTCCACGAGCAGAACTATGTTTTAGGCAAATTAAAAATCATAATCAAAATTTGCTTTTCTAAATATAATACTTACCTAGATTTTTGTTTCTGAGCTTGGACCTTGAGAAAGGCATTGGTTGTCCGGTTGACCTGAGACCGTATTGTCATTTCGTTGGCCACCAGAAGTATATTCTCCGGCTTTATATCGGTGTGTATTATGTGACATTTGTTGTGTAAGAAGTACAGGCCCTCGAGAACCTGTCGTGCTATTTGCTTAATATTCCCAAGGGGCAGTCCAGGAAATCGAGATTTTCGGATTAGGGTTAGCAAATTGTCACCAAGTAACTCAAACACCAGGCAAAGATGTGTCCCACTCGATCCGCTTATATAGAAATGTTCAATAAATTCAATAATTCGCTCCCTCATTGAGTGGCTGCCGTTCTTGTCGACAGTCAAAAGTAATCGGATCTCGTCGCGTGCGGTTTCTGTAAAGTGGTCAGCCGATTTGACCACCTTTATTGCACAATAACGATCCATGGCGCAATCGTAGCACAGCCAAACGGTAGAGAAGTGTCCCCATCCAAGTTTTCGAATAGCATGATACCGATGATTGAATATATCACCAATGGCCACCGGATGATAGCCACCAGCACGATACTCCGAGGAGCTCTCCTCTAGACCTTTATTAAAACTCAAACGTGGATCGTAATATTCATCATTGGAATCGCACTCGGAATTCGATCGAGAAATCATATCGGCTGCCTCACTAAACGCATCGCGTAGACGTTCCAATTCATCTGGCCTATTCAAGTTGATCGGTTTAGTAGTTTGTTTATTCTTAAAACGCTCCTCGGTCTCTGCGACTAGATTACCATGTTCCCTTCTGAATTTCTCACAATGCTGCTCTAGCTCTTCAAACTGTTGGTCCATTTCCTTAGAGAGCTTTTTCGATTCTTTTATTAATTCCGAAGTAGATGGCTCATTAGTAAGGCCGCATGGCATTTTAAAGTAACGTTTCATTACGATCGGAAAAATAATGGCAAGTTATTGGCCATTAGGCTTTTGTTGTTAATATCAGGGAATACTCGCAAAGAATCCTTTCAGTTTGTTAGAAAGGATATAAAGAGAATATGTTGTCGTCTGTGCCGGAATATTATGCCTGAATATTACGAGTTTTCAAAACTTGTCCAAGTTCGATGTTTTTGGTTTTCTAAAAAAAAGAATTGATGTGAAAATGAGAAAAAGTTTTTACTTTAATAACTTACATTTGCTCCTTGAATTTTAGTTAGTATTTTGGGATAATCTTCCGAGAGATATCCCTTTGTGATCTCAAAAAAAAAATATATATATATATATAAACTCTCTGGCTTTAGTTTTTTAAATTTTAGATGCTGGCATAATGCCTACTAAAAATGTACTGACGAATTTTGAACTCGATAATCTAAAAATGATTAATACACACGGAGCCTACTTTAATTTGAGTTTATTTTAAAGTTAAAATCATAAGCCTACTTGAATCAGTCTGTTTTGGATTCTTATAATTATTAATATATCTTTTAAAAAGTGTATATATATATATATATATATATATATATAAACATCTGTAAGTAGTACTCAAGTCCTGCCCAAACTTCGAGCAATTAAACATAATTTTTTGGTGTTAAGCCCAGTTTGGCCCAATTCTATTAAATTTTTTGATTTTATTTTCTAAATCGAAATAGTTGCGCAATTGAGGGCGAATCCTTTGTGCCAGTCCAGTGATTCAGAAAAGGCTATTTAGGGCAACAATAGCGACAGTAGTAACCAGGAACCAGTTACCAGTTGCCAGTTTACAGCGCGATTGAAGGGATTATAAAGGAACGTAAATCGGTTGCAAAATGCACATTGGCCAGAGTCACCATGGGGGATGGGATGTCGTCCTTGTTCCATATACTCAGGTGCTTCACATGGACAACAATAGCTCCCATTGAGTGATGATTGTGTTTTGTTTGTATTTTGATTGCCGGCTTAGAGCAAATTTTTGTTCACATTTCTCTTTTTTTTTTTTGGGGGAGAAATTCCCAAAAAAAAAAAAATATAAAAATAAAAAATGAAATGAAAGCATAGTTAACCCCCTCTCTCTCTCTCTCTAGCGGGCGAATTGCCGATATTTGCTCAGTTGTTTAAACAAATTTTCCGCTTAGGGTTGCTAACCGACCTCCTGTTTGCACACAATGGATTTCCATGCGCTGGGCTTAAGTGAAAATGCCATGTCAAATATTTATTAAAAAATCTATGTATGACTATGACTGCTTGGGGACACAATTTTCCATCGCCGGGGTTTATCGGGAAACTTTTCGAACTTGATGGAAAATCGGGGTTTCAACGTTCCCAGGCGAGTTCTTCCAATTCCAACCCTTTTCTTTATTTTTACTTGCACCCGAAAAAAAGTCTTGTTTGTAATTAGGGAGTTTTCCTTATCATTTTCCCAAAATGCCAAAGGCATTCAACATTGTTTTCCCCGCCAATTAAGCGTAATTTCAAGTGTCCCGTTCGTGTATTGGGAAAACTCAAAAGAAAAGGCAACGGCAGCGTTTTGAGTTTCACTCTCATAACTGGTTAGCTTCCTAATGAACTGTTTATATGCAGACAATGGTTGGAAATTGAATTAAATTAACGTCGATTTTCCCGTTTTCCAAAGTCAGTGGGTGTGTGCCTTTGACAGCTGAAGGCTTGGATTTGTTTTTTTAATTTTTTTTGCTCGTGGGTAAGCTTTACTGAAAGCCAGGTAATGAGCAGCGTAAAAGGAACTTTTTTTTGGAGGAGTGATAAGCGGAAAATTAACTATTATTAAGACATTTTCACACCCTTTTTTAGCCAGCCCTTTGTCACGAAACTTTACAATTTTCAAGCCCTAATAGGGAAGTACCTTTTGTGAGCATCGTTTTTACCTAAGTCCCCAACCTTAAATTCCTATTATTTTTTTTTAATATTTTTCAAAAGTTTCCAAAGCCTTCATCTAATGTATCTTTTCCCTGGCAGCATCTACAAAAAGTATCTAAAAATTTTCGTTTGCCCACTGATGTGAGACTAAATTACTTACAAGTAATAAAAATCCGCTGTGGGACAGTAGATGGCCGCGGGGATGTTTTCTTAATTAATTTCCGTGTTTTTCCTAGGGCTGGAAAGGGCCATTCCTTGATTGCTTGCAGCTAGCAGCATCCGAAAAGGTCGAAGGGTCAGGAGACAAGGGTCAAACGTAGATCGCCGAATGTTGTAGCCGAAGAAAAAATAAAGGGTTCAGCACGATTGCCCTAATCCAATTACCGCGATTGACCGCGTACTCGCGCGTAATATGGTAGATCTGGAAAATGTATATATTGTTAAAGGATCATAATTTTATAAGCAAGGAGTTCTTAAAAATTCGTTATATTCCTGGGATTATAATATACATTATCTTTAATATCTTTATTCTTATTAGTTTTTAATTCAGAAAATAACATCCTTTTCTGCTCAGATTATCTTAAAGACATGCTCAGGTAGTTTCTATATTTTATATATACAAATTCTGCGGATTATGGGACAGCTATGCTCCTCGGCTTTTGCACTAAAAATAAAAAAAAAAAGTTTGCCACCTACCTTTATTTCCGGCTTGCCGAAGTCCATCGTTGATATAGAAGGCATCGTCGTATGTATCCAGCATCCCACTTCATCAAAAGGCCAGCACATGGATTTCCAAAAAAAAATCCATGATGCACTGCATCCTCAATGGAGGCCATGTCCAGGTACCACCGGACCACTTGGAGGCACTTGAAGGCACTTGGAGGCACTGAACTAGCAGAAACACACACACACACAAAAATGACTTGACTAATTTTTCACCGGCCAGCAACGCCCTAGTCATAACATTTCTGCTAGAACCTGTTGAGAATTACAAGTGCCGCGGTATGCGCCAAAATTTCGGTTAACTTAAAATTAACAAAGATAGCCATTAATTGGCCGTCAACTGGCGGGTAACCGTCGACTCTTAAGTTTTAGTTAATTTTTTAAATTTGGGCGTTAGAAGGACCCATTTTTCATGATTATTTTTGGGTTATTAACTTAAGCCTTTGCTGGTAACTCATATAGCCGTAAACTGGCTTTCGGCACTCAGTTAATTTGCTTTAAAATTAAAAAATTTGACATTAACATTTAATTTTTCCGTTTATGTTTAAATATTTAACATTTTCAAAAATTGCTGCTCGCGGATATTGGATAAGCGACTCACATGGAGCTTAGTCTTGGTAACAAATTGTTAATCTTTAAATCAATTGTGGTGCCCTCGATGATTTATTGCATCCAAGTATGGGGCATGGTTTCAGACTCTAACGTCAAGAAAGTACAAAGAGTACGAGTAAGAGTGGTACGTTAGAAACGAAACCGTAGCAAGTGGCCTCCACATTCCATCTGTCAGGGAACAGATAAACAGTCACTCGAGTCGTCTCGCAGCTCACACCAACCATCTAGTCTCTTCCCTGGCCAAGACATCAATTAGAAGACGTCTTAAGCGAAAGGCATCCAGCCGATCTCTGGGCAAGAGGACGCCAAGTTTCTCGAGTCCTAAAGCAGTAACACAATTTAGTATTAATCTCTAGTTATCTTCTAGTTATAAACATTTGTTACTTCCCTCCTTGTTATAAATTCGCGCTATTCGTTTAATATTATGCTTAATGTATTATAGGCATTAAGTTGGCTGAAATAAAAATAAAATATTTTTTGCATTATGTGTTTGGGATCAAGTCCTTTTTGATCGATAGTCGTTTCGGAGTTGCTTGGTCTCGTCTTTCTTGCGGGGAATCACAAACAGATGGAGATGCAGACAGCTGTCCTTTGGGTGTTGCCTCCGCCAGAGATTTTTCACTTTTCCATTGTTGCGACGCTTCCTTTTTGTCAATGTGCAGTTACGTCGTATATAGCCGACGACTTGTCCCCGTTTTTTTTTTATTCTTCCGTAACTTCTTTTCCCTTCAGTCCCCCGATTTTCCATTCTTTAGATTTGAGTTTTTTTTTCGCCAGAGTGTGGCATGTGCCGCTCCATTGTGTGCCAATTGGCAGAGCAGCTGCTTCTTCTCCTTTTGTCTGTCCTTGTTCAAATCCTGCAAAATGCGCCAATTACATTGCTCATTATTATCTTTGAACTTGGCGGAGGATTTGGATGTGGAACTGGAGCAAGATCACCTCAGCTGCCGGGCTTTGTCTATGAGCTTCACCTTGACTTGAAGTTCTCACTGTCTGTGGTCCTCATCTATTGTTGTGTCCTTAAAATAATGTCAAAAAAGGCCTAATTAGAAAATTTTATAGGTAGTGATGTTAAATTCAAGTGACTGACTGACTTTGGGACTTTAATTTTATAAAATTCTATAAGTTAAGTTCATGAATCAATGTTGTTTGATAATTTTTGGGAAAGAAATTGTTTTAGTAAAATCTGTAGAAATCACAGAGATACTTTTTAAAGATCCAGATTATATGTATTACCATTATGTGTTCGTTATATTCTTTGTCAAGATTTTCAATCACTATAGCTACTAAGCAGATTAAAAAACACAACCAACCATCTAACATCGTTTCCTGACTTTTGTACGGTTGTGGGAATCTCGTGGGCTGGTTTTCATTGGGAATCACTGGGATCATTCATCACGCTATACAGCGACAGGATATGCTGCAGGATATGACATTGCATAAAATGTCCAGTGATTGGCGATCGTTACACAAACCGCATCCTGCGAAGATCCTGCCTTAACAAAAACCCAATTGTCCTGAGCTTGCTCTAATGTAATGCTCTAGAAAACGTATCGAATGGAGAAAACCCAGATCCAGCAGGATGTGCGCAGCTGTCCGGCGGGAAGTCAACGTGTATTATCAGAGGACCACAAAGTTCGCGCCCATGTCGCGGCCGCTGTAATCCTTTAACTGTCACGAAGCCAAAACAAACAAACGGTGTCCGCCCCGTCCGATGAACCGAGTGACCTCTTCATTACACGGCGACAATCTTGGCGGGTCACCACACCGGGGCGGTTCAGCGGGTTGGAAAATTATGCAACACGACAAACAGGAGGATTAGCCCAGCGAAAACATATATATATATGTATATTCCACAGTACTGATTCATGATTTTCGATCCTCAATTCCCAAGACTGACCCCTGCGTGCTTGTTTTTATTGCTTTGTGTCGGACAATTGATCGTGTGACATAAATTTGGTGTAAACAGCTTTGGTCAGCTTTGCTACCTGGAAAGAGGGAATATAGTTGTCAATGGCAATGGACATAAATCAGTGAGAATCTTACAATGGTCCGGTGATATATGGCCCATATATAAATGGTGATCCATGCTTGTTTACAATGCCTTTAA